GCCCAGCATCTGGTAAGTGGTCAAGCTTCTTATCCCACTTTTACGCCTTTCTGACTCGTGTGTCTCTAGTACAATCATCCCGAGGGTGTGACACCATACATGTATCCCCATGGCCAAGAGCCTGTTAGAAATCCCGAGGATACCCCCTTTTACTCAGATATTGTTAAGAACTGCAGCGATTTCCACCAGATGACTGGTAAGGTGGGCGATGTCGTTCTGCTCCATCCTTTGATGTGTCACTCGATTTCTATCAACAGCTTGAGACACCTACGTGTTATCACCAACCCGCCGGTGTCCTTGAAACAACCGTTCAACTTTGACCGGGACGATACCTCCAAATACAGTCTCGTTGAGAAGAAGACGCTAGAGGTGCTTGGCAAAGATAGACTGTCTGGCTGGAAAATCAAGGGGAAGCGAGAGTTCGTTGTACCGAAGAGGCTGAAAGATACAACCGGATTGAGTGAGAGCTAGAAAGACTAGCGGGCATCACGGGACAACCCATTTCAGCCTGATTGCCACGACCTTGACCTTAGCCGAGACAACGACTTTTATTCTTGCGTGAAATTAGGCTTTAGCATGAAATCAGAGTTATTCTTACCCATTCAATCGATGTGTTCGCTTCTTGCCCTTCCATTGCCTTGTCATGATCTCATACTCGATCAGGTTAGCTGTCTGTGCTACTTTGGGACATTCGTTTTACGACAAGTGTAGTAATCACCAATACTTTTTAATTGTGACAGGTTTAATTTTCACATTCATTTTTTTCGCCACAGGAAACCGGACGAAATCCCCCCAAGGATAGCCACGCCCGTGATGAGACCCCATACTCCTTGAAAGGCCGCGACCGAAACAACTGTAACAGCTTCTCTCTGTTTACTTGACATGCTCACGTCCTTCATCAGAATGAGATATCCGTTGGCAGAGTTTACTATGTCTCGATTCAACTCAACACCTGCAAATCCATTGCCGAGGCAGTTCAACAATACGACTGCCCCGACAGGGACTGCGACTGCCATACCCCAAGCTCGCATGTAGTATGACATGGTTGTTGGCAGAGTTGACATGGATCCATCCCCATCTTTGGGTAGATTCTGGACACGAACATTGTAACTTGAAAGCAACAAACCGTGTCCAAGGCCTGTTGTGAACAACAAAAATACCCACGCTACGGTCGGCGTGGAGTTATCCAAGAGTATAGAGCACCCACTCACAAGGGCAGTTAACACCCAACCGCCAGAGATGATCCACTGGGTACATCTTAACTCCTTCGCAAGAATGACACCAACCACCGTAGCCGGCGCAATCGCAAACCCAACCAGCGCTAGCAAGGTGATTCCAGACAAAGTGGCGGACATATAATGAGTAGAGACGAAATAAAGTGGGAAGAATTGCAAGTGGGCAAAGACCTAGACTAGTATGTTAGACACCATGAAGGAGATGCAAAGAGAATGTTGACTAACCACAAAGCCATGCAAAAAGCACCCTATATGTGTCATAGCCATCATCCTCGAGCGAAATACCCTCCTCCCAAAATGTGGATGCAGAGCCCACTTGGACTCATAGAAGACAAGCACAAGAAGAATCACAGCACCCACAACAAGAGGCACAATCGTCTGCCAGTCGCCCCAATGATACAAGCTCCCACCACAAGAAAGACCAACCAGAATAGTCCCAAGCCCAAAAAAGGCCAAAGAAGTACCTGTCCAATCCAAAGCGCGCAATTTGTGCATCGGGATATATTTCAACGCGCGAAGATCCACAGCGAACGGAATAGCTAGCAGACCAAGCGCGCAGAAAAGGAAGTTGAAATAAAACACCCACCGCCAGTCCGCATTATCCACAAACAAGCCTCCGATAATGGGTCCCAAGATGCCGCCACACATGCGCGTCAACAAGATATAACAGGAATATCGTGAGTGCATGGATTCAGACGCTGTCTCGGTCATTATCACGAAACACAGACTCATTGCGCCGCCGCCGCCGATACCTTGGATCATGCGGCCGATGATCAGTTCTGCGAGACTCATCGAGCCGCAGCAGATTCCTGTGCCGATTGTTGCGAGGACCACGGCAATGATCCATACAGGTCCGTGATTGAACACCTCGCTCATCATTGTGAAGTAGAGTTGGCTGGTTGCGCCGAAAAGGAGGTATACCGTGTTGACCCAGAATGTGCTTGCTAGTGGCTTTGCGAAAGCGTTTGCCAGGTCCTATATTGAGTCTCTGGTCAGTTCTGGTATAGATATAAAATCACACTCGTGGTATTGCATATGGCATACAGGTAAAGCTGGGATCAAAATGGTCGCATTGAACGAATCCATTATTGCCAGGATAACGATACAGATAAAGACCAGCCATTCTTGCACTTCGATCCGTCTTTTTTGTTCTTCGGTTGAAGGGTCGCTCTCGAATAGTTGAATTGAGCTGCCCAGTGCTGGGTTGTGTGTTGTCATGCCGTCCACACTTCGGACGCTGTCCGGTACGCCGAAATTGATTTTAGACTCATCATCGTAAATTTCTTCGGCTATTGAATGGCGGCCCATTTGTTTTGAATCTGCTGTCGAAAGGCCTCTCGGGGTATATATACTAGTCGTGCAGTTGTCTTTCCTCACGGGAACCGGGGTACTATGGTATCTGAGGTCGATCGCGGCATCGATCGAAACTGAACAGCGATTCCCGGAATAAATTTCATAGCTAGCATTTCAAGGTTACCCGCACTGACATGGGATAGAGGAGATGTGTAATAGGAGTTCCCCCTCCGCCCCTTCGTCGTTGGGAAACCTGCAAAGGAGACGTTTAGGTGGATTCCACAAAAGAAGGGATACATAGTAACTCCATTGCTATTGGTCCGGAGTTCGATATATTCTTATTTAAACCTTTTATCGCGGGGAATATTAGAGCCAAATCCCTGGGAATGATGGGTTAAAGGGTGCCAGGGTCTTAGCACAGTTAGCATTCCAGTCCCATCCCTTGTTAGATGTCGTGATGTACGTGCATCGAGCATTCCGTGCATGATCCAAGGGGGTTTGCTTGTGAAATTGACGTAGCTTATCTTATGGTAGTATCTTCAAGTTGTATCCCGGATTTTATATATAAAATTGTTCTTGAGTTGATGAAAGTGTAACTATATAAGGTACATATATTCTCAGGGAAATTCCAAGCCATACCTTGAACTTTGAATTCTTTTGTTCGAACTGTGGGAGAGATCTCTAACTACACCTAATAGTTTAATCGTAATTTCATAATTTCAATAGTAATAGACAGAGAAGTAAAGCCTCTTTCAACGTCTCATTAGCATCACGTGCCTACTTCCACCCTCGTTGACCTCGCGTTGGCTACTCGGGACCTCCCCGCTTTTTGAAAGGGAGACATGCCCCTCCTTTTACAAGCTCAAATCAGATTCCTCCAAATATCTAGTCAAGACTTTGATTTCTTCTTGTAGATCATCTCCCTAGGAGACATCCTGCCCAGTCTCCTGAAATGGGAATCAGGGGATTGTGGAACTTGCAGGTGAACGGTGGGTAAAATGCTTGATTATATATCTTGTCATGCTTATGGGTGGTTTAATTAGGCCGTTGGTATCACCTCTGTCATCCGCGGATCCGAGTGAGCCCACCAGAAGCAACAGAGACGTCGCGTAGAGTCAAGCGGATACATGACAAGACCATCGATCTTGAGCAATGGGAGAAAGTTCCCTTTCCGAGCCCACTAGATTCATACTTTGATTTTGTATATACCATCGATCAGGATGCAGGCACTTTTATTCTTTCAAAGTGGTCGGATGTTGATGGCAATCGGACGCCTCTAGCATTTGAGGCCAGTCTTGTCGATATAACTCAGGTCGGCGAGAGGCTGGCTTAGAAACTCGCAACAAAAAAATCTGTAGTTTTGCCAGCATAAACTACACTGCATGATTTCAGTACTCGTTTGCCACGGTAGGCCTGGTGAATACCACCCGTCTCAGGAGCAATACAAAGTCTGTTCCTGTTGACAATCGGAACATATATACTTATCAGTGTCAGAAGGCACATAAGACAGCCCTGCACATTCCATATGTACCTGTATATACCGGATTTTAGGCCGTGGCCGCGACTTGCCCGGTTATGCGCTCAGGGTCATTCTCACTGAGCATTTCTCAGCACAGGGCGATTACTCGGTCAGCACCCAGACTAGGCTTAGTGCGCGTAGAGACTTGCTTAACGTATTTCACAAATGAGCGGCACACCCTACAACCTACTAAATTTAAATGCATTTATCTCAATTAAAACTCCATTAAATTAAATAAACTAAAGCCATTATCTATCTGGACATACATCTCTTCTATAGCCCTGGATTTTGTATGGCCCGTATGTTGGCAAGGCCCTAATTCTTAGCTGCAAACTACCTTAACCTTTCTTGATAAACTCGTTCTCCTTCCTCGTTGACGAGCTCGAACTTAATAAAGTAAACAAACCGCCTTATAGTTTGTCCCTAATACTCACAAGTGCCCTCTTCTCCTATTACAGGTGGTCTTTAAGCGCCGCCGAGGGATATTTAGCTGGGTTTTCACCATTAATGCGCCAGCAATGTAACCTCTTAAACTTTCCAACAGAGGAGATAGTCCCCTAACACAAGTCTACAGGGAAGTATTGGAATCCGCCCGACAAACGCTCGAGCGAGTGGAGAGGGAGACTCATAGGTAAGACCCAGTAGACGGAAATATTTAGCTAGATAGAAAATTCTATTATTAGAAATTTTACAGTTAGCTCTACTCTGTAAGGAGTTGTTCTATAAGTTTCACGTAGTAGATATTACTATCTTGTCATTTATATCAAGCGAGTTCAATTTAACCCCTAACTCAATCAACCTATCAAATATCAATAGCCACCTGGACACCTTCTTTCCCTCACTAATCCATTCCATGTCCCGAGGTCCCACCAATCCTCGTCACATAAGCTCCTCAACCGGAATTTCCAGCTCAAATAACGGAATTGTCCAGTAACTTCGATAACTGAGGATACTTAAACGGTCTTCACGGGTCCGTTGTCGGGCAGCTCATCGGTCTTCAGACTGACATCTGTGCCACAATCGTACTTGCAGCTGTACTCCCACTTTCCAGTGGGGAGATCCACGTGCCAGCCTTGCCAGCCCCGCCTAGATGATTCAGAGTTAATTCCAACTAATATAAAGCTAAGGAAAACGGAAAAAGACATACGTATAGTATCCGTCAGGGCGCTGGGTCTGATCGTCGCGGTTGGGCTGCTTACAAGTGCGGCGGACATAGCCAACAACTTGAACAACTTGGTAGGTCGCAACGACTTTGTGGCATCCCTTATCATCCCTAATGAAAAACGTCAATATGGGTCATCTCTCAGAGGGTGGTTCTCCATATTTACCATTCACAAAGATAGCTATCACTGCTAGTGGTGCACTCAGAACCACCTTTTGACTCGGTAGCTTCCGCGCCAATGGAGATAATGCCATCCGTGATACCGGCACTAAAGCCTGTAGTACTCTCCCATGTTGCGCATCCTTCCACAGATTCAAGGTGGGTGATGGAACAGGTTGGTGAATCGGCGCAGTTCAGGTTGGCAGAGTTCTCCTGCCACGGTTGCCACCGGGTTTGAGCCTTGGTCACGTAGATATCGGTCCAGCATGCACCATTTCCTGCGTAGCCATTGTTTCCACAGGACTCGATATAGGAGCCGACACCGTCGTTGTCTCTGTTCACTTGAGCTGAGGTCTTGCCTGAAGCATCCGGGCAGTCGCCGTCGTCGCGGCGTGCTAGACGCGCAATATCGTCGGTGGTGAGGGCAATGTTGTGACTATCGAGGGTCTCCTGGACAGCAGCCGGAAAGGCATGAACAAACACTGGGGAGGCGCAAAGTGCCAGCAGAAAGGTGAACTTGGCCATATTTTCGGTAGGAGTCAGTTTATTGAACTATCGATGGTTGTCGACGTTTATGGATCAAGTAGGATTGAATTGAGATGTTAGTAGAGACTTGAACGGATCTCGACGCCCATATTTATATTATTCCTGACAGAGGCTACATCCCCCTTCAGTATATCTCCAGGCCTCCAATTCAGCCTCGCCGGAGATGCTCTTTTGCTTACCTCCCTTGGCATTGTGGATTCATTGATACTGATCGACAACGAACAAGTCCAATTGATATCCAATGGATATTGATGATCGTGTGTCTGATAGGCGGGCTATTTTCGTAGTGATATATATTTCATATTTTTAGATTATTCAGACGTAGTTCATGACGTACATACTTTGTGATGGCCCCTGCCAAGGAAATATAGATTTTGATCCATCCTCTTATTGACTATCTGCGACGTACAATACTCCACGACAAGGCGGGGGCCAGTACCTGACAGTAAAATACCCTGCAGTAAAATACCCTGCAGTAAAAGTACCCCGCAGTAAAGTACCCTGCAGTAAAGTACCCTGCATCAGCATCTGATTCAAGCCGTAAACCCATATGGTTCATAGATACTTTAGAGTGCGATGAGGGCAAGGCTCGCCATACATGGCTGCAGCGATGTTTAATTGGGGGTTCTATGACCAGTACCAGAATAGCTATATTAATTAGCGAATACTTTGAATGCTTCAATCTCGACAGTCGGGGGTGAACTTCTGCAGAGCTCTCAGAATATTTGCCTTGATTCTACTGTCAGCCTCATCCTTCTAAATGGGGCAGCGATCGCTAAGGGGCCGCTGTGGTGCTCCCGTCCCACTAAAGTCGAAACTGGGACGAGTTCAGCCGTACTTATAAATGAGACTATGCCTATTTAGAGTCGAATCCTGCGCTAATGCACGGTACTTTCCTGCCAAGGAATTTCAAACGTCCTGAAAAATAAAAATAAAAAACAATGCCGCCTATACACTCGTGTGATTTGTGGCTATACAATTTGTCTGGCGTTCATTCATATAAGTCTATACACCGTCTTCTAATATTACTGGCTATTTCTCTAGGTAGAGGCATTCCAACACTTGCACTTACGTACCAATGTCGACCCAGCCTCCCGTCTAAGTTCTTGATATTGGCTAACTGCAAATAATCACAGCAAAGACAAAATATAACCAATTCAAAAAGTTCGATAAAATAGCAAGAGAGAAGAGTAAGTCTCAGAACTTCCCGTATCGTCATTAACTAATTTGATCAGCTCTGAAACATTTCTGTTATTCTTACTCGAACAGAAAACCTTCCCTTGACAGGGTAAGGCAATCCCTTATCGCGGCCCAGCTTTATATTCTCCTCTTTCGTTTCTACCAACTCAAGGTCAAAGTTCCGAACAAACATGGCCAGTGTAAGATATATTTCCGCGTAGGCGAGACTTCATGATGAGCAATAGTCCAGAAAACAACTGGGGGGATGACTTACTTCATGCCTAGACACTGTCTGCTTCCTTTACCAAAAGATACCATGTATTTCCTTAGGTTGACACCCTCTTCAGTTGCTCGTATCCATCGCTCTGGGTCAAATCTCTCAGGATTGGGGAAGATAGATGGGTCATGGTGGACAAAGTATACAGACTGGCTGACGGGTGTCTGGGGAGTTTAGCTTGTACAATAATAAATCACATCCACCTGGGCAGGGTAACTTACTCCCGGCGGAATCACAAAGCTTTTGTAGAACAATGCTTCGGTCGGGGCGATGCGAGCCAACCGAGTGCTGAGTCCATAGGACAACCGAAGTGCCTCTTGAATAACCCCTGTCTGGAACCAGTGAGACTTATTTAATTATTGCACAGCTTGTTGGACTGACCAGGAAAGGCAATCTCTCTAATTCTGCCCATTTTGGTTGACTGGCTGGCGAAGGCATCACCTGTGTCAATTCATCGAACAATTTCTGCCTCAAATCCTTATCCTTTGCCAGATAGAATGCAGCAACAGATAAGGTTCTTGCTGTTGTCTCTGTTCCGGCTCCGAATAATACCGATGCCTCATCCACAAGCCTACTCAACGTCCTCTCCTTTTCCGGTACAGATACCGCCGTCAGGGCATCAAAGATGGTCTCTGGTTTTCCCGTGGTCTTTCCTTTCTTATTTAAAGCATCAGCAGCTCTCTTTCGAGTCCGAAGTCTTGCCTCGATCATCTCCCCAAAAAGACCTTCTGGGAGGTGCAGCATCTCAATTATCCAAAAGGGAGGCCTCGAAAGCATGACTGCAAGCATGGGGAGAAACCGGTTGATATGAAAAATGCGAAACAACGAATCCAACGCTTCCATCATGTCGTTCTTGAAATCAGGTACGTCCAAATATCCCAAGCTTTTGCCATGTGAATAGTGCGTGATGACATCGGCAGTCAACGCCGCAAATACAGACGGAATATTCAAGACCAACTTCTCCCGAAATGCTCCTATGAATCGATTTTGTAACATGTTTACTTTTGCCTGTATGGTTTCTTCAAGGTCCATCACCGACCGTTTGGAAAAAAAGTTGTTCAGTAAGGCCCGACGGAGCCGGTGCTGCTCATGACTGTTTGTCGATGCCATCGCACCCGGAGTTAAAAGTGCGACGGTAAAAGCCGGATCTTTATGTCGAACACGTTTTCCACTTGTATATATTTCATCGTAAAAAGAGGGATCTTTGATATGGATCTCTCGTGGATTAATTCGGACAATTGTTCCTGGAAGCTTTCGATTATTACAGTTGGCCTTTGACGGTGTAAATATTTGCTACACGTACCATATTTATCATGCATCCGTTCGATCTCCCATATATACATACCACCTTTGAGCACATCATAGTATATTTCGGGTAGATATGAGATGGCAGCGAGCGTCGGACCTGGGAACTTGGAGAGTGGATGAAAATATAGGCGGTAAATGATGCGCGTGGTGATATACACAAGAACGATCAAGACTAACGTGGCGATAAGAGGCATGGTTATGGTTCAAATCTGGAGGCCCGAACCAAAAGAATGTTGAAGAGCATCCTGTTTTTATACCAAGTCTACGATCCCAAAGATATGTAATACAATCTCCATACATTTATGAGGCGGTCTTGGCGTACAAGTACACTGCATTAGCGTTGAACTTAGTGCTATTTGGGATAATAAGAGGTGCCTTAATTGGCTAAGTAAGAGAAGCAGGTCTGGAGAATTCAAAATGAAATCGCCCCTCTTTCCCCTCCCCTTCCCCAATAGTGAGGTTAGACATTATTTTTTTTCCCACTTCAAGGTCAGCCACCTTTAAACGCAATGCCCACAAAATGGGCCACCGAGGCCGACTGGACCAAATATAGGGACACTATAATAAGCCTTTACCGCCAAAAGTCCCTTGCAGAAGTCATGGAGCACATGCAACAGGAACACCAATTCCGAGCTACGTAAGAGCGCTGCTATCAATCCTCCACCTCGCATCAAAGCTAAATCATCGGTTCTATAGAGTGCGAATGTATAAAGGGCGACTGAAGGCATGGTGTGTTGGCAAATACACCAAGCGGAGCACCGACAAGATACCTGCAAGCGAAGATGACGCCACTGTGTTCCGAACCCCACGGCGACCAATGCCTAGCGTGGAGCCAGCGCTTGGAGCACCGGGCTCCCAGCAGAAAGTGCTGGATTGCCTGAAGATTCTAGAGAAGTACATCAATGTGAACTCGGCTGGCAGGCGGTGGAAGGTGTCAACTACATTCATGGCCTCGCTCCAACATAGCGACTGGTTGGCACAGATTACCACAGTTACGATATTTTTCAAAGGGGGACGGTTACAGGATGGGTTCCGACTACTAGGTAATTGTTTCGAGGCCTGCAAAACAAACCTCAAGGCAGAAAGTCCCATGCTCACCTCTGAAATCTTCATGGGTGCTTTTCAACTTTTCACCATCAATCCTAGCTTAGGATGGTCATTTTTGAAGTACATTCGCGATCTGAGCGGTATCGTTCTGGAGATGGCCCATCCGCTGTTTCTACTACTATCCAAGTATTTGACCTTGGATAAAGAAGCATTTGCGAACTGTAGCGACGTATTCTTGGGCTGTTTCCTCGACCTTATGGCAAGATGTGTCCCAGGCTGGGACGAGTCGCACCATGGCGCACTATTATTGACAACCGGTCGGATTTTCTTACTTAGTCTGATCGGGTTCTCACAATATGAAGAGCTGACTCGGAAGTCTAAAAACAACGAAACCATGCCCTTGTTATCGGGTCAGCAGATCCTACAATATCAAGGCGAGCTGCCACCTGCAGCCACGCGGTCAGATACATTGTCGCTGTATTCCGTTTTCCCAGCACGAATCAAGGTGGTCGAGAAATGGGGAGCTATTGCTTATTTGTCATTTGATGTCCTCTGATGTCTACAAGAAGTTAGATTCATTAACGGAGGGATGCGTGGTAGTCCCATTTCTGGCCTGTATTTAAGGTACCGAACCCAAGAAATACTCTTTATGTGGACTTATCCATTCGCATCATTTCCATTTATTCAAATTGCATTCACTAGAAGAGTCAGGCAAAGAATAATCGTGTTGCTTTCCTATATGTTTCTCCCAAATTAACCTCTCCCCAGACAGGGGCATGTTCGTCTTCACCCTCATCTTCTTCCAGCGGCATCACTAGGCATAGCCCCATGCTAGGATCACTGCTACCATGTTCCTATGCGTCATAGTTACTACCGCAATGATCAGGTTGTCCATATTTGACAATACAGCCAAAGCCATAAGCCCTAAACCACCCATCCTTCCACTTGGCCTTCCTCGGCAGGTTTATGAACCACCTTGAAGTTCATTAATTACATAGGTTACATCAACGATTTCCTGCTCCCCAACACAAACCAAGCAAGCTATGGGAGTATACCGTTCACCTACTTTGCACGCTTAGGCGCAACCTCAAGCAGAGTCCTCCAAAGGATAATCCACGCAACAATAAGATTACCTATAGCTAGCCCCTATTTCATTATCATAGCCGGCCCTTCAACGCCTCCCTCAATGACAATCTCGACTGCTGCGAGAGCATGAACCACACCCTCCCTAGCCTCATTCTGCTATATTAGGGTGTTATAAATCCTAGCACCTAAGGTAAGCACCTCCTATCGCTTGTGAAATACGTTAGGGAGAGGTTTGTATTGCTTATGTAACACCTCAGTTTTACTCAGTGTTACTCAGTGAGCAAAAAGCAGCAAGGGGTGAGCACTAAGACGGGAAAATGGGAAAATGAAAGCCATGTCGCGTGGCCTGAAATCCGGGGTGTATGTACGTACGGATTAGTCAAAAGACAAAAATTGAAAGCTTTCTTATCAGTACCAGGTAGGTGTTGGTGCCTCTGTCTAATACTTCTTAGGCAAAACATATCCGCCAATACTAACAAAGAACCGCATAGCCTGACCCATAAACTCCGTAAGATCCGCCCCCAGCCACGAAGGCAAGAGTCTTGCCCTGGGCTCTTCAAGCTCGCGAAGATATTTACCAGCAACCTAACCAAACAAGGAGAGAATTAGCACCATACTAACTCTTTACTCATTACCTTGGATATATCTCACCAAAACACAATTCCCCTTCCGCTCTTCATCCAAAGCCACAACCGCAATAGCATCCGCAACTCGTTCCGGAGTATTCTTCTCAAGACCCGCCTCATCCCACTTGCGCGCAAAGCCCGCCGTGATATGAGTCGGTGTCAAAAATGGCGCGACAGCATTAACCCGGACGCCGTGTGAGCGCGCAACATCCTGACACGCCCGTAGGAGACCTAGTACGCCGTGCTTCGACGCGATGTAGGCGGCTACACCTGTTCCGCCGAAATAACTCGATGTGGATGCAACTAGTAAGATTGACTTTGTCGGTTGGTGGTCTGTAGTGGTTGATGTGGAGGACTTCGTATAGTGTAATCCCAAGCGGAGAGCTGTTTGATATAGATGGATAGGCACGTTGTCAGTGTACGAGCGCCCTGGAATGGGTATTCAACCTGCTATTGAAGCTTGAAAATGATGGGAAAATTCACTGTTCAATGTTCCCTTGAGATTGACATCAATAACCCTCCCCGCTTCCAGGCTCTCGAGAAGACGTCCATTCGCATCCACGTTGTTCATATCCAGGACAGACTCGGACTCCATGATACCCGCGTTGGCTATGACAATGTCGACCTTGCCGAAGGTGGCGATCGCCTCCTCGAAGCATGCTGTTAGCTCTGCCCAGTTGACAATATCGGTAGATACGAATATTGCGCGGTTTGAGAATTTCATCTGTTTCTGTATGACATCCTCGGCGCTGTTTTGCAATTGGGGGAGGTCAGCGATAACGACATTGGCACCGTGGGAGTTGAATAGGACCGCGCTTGCAGCTCCGATTCCGCGTGCAGCACCCGTTATCAAGACTGTTTTACCGGCGGATTGGGAGAAGAGAGCTTGGTCGACTTGCACTTCGGTCATTCTGGTTGGTTCACACCAGGTAGATGCGAATGGAGAGGGAAGAAGTAAGACTGAGGGTTGGTTGTTAAGTCTGGTGATGCAGATGGATTAATTGCAGAAAAGTACCTAGGTATATTGCGGGGTATTGTCGATTGCGAGATCTACCGCAGTAATTTGTACAACTCATCCTATACACCGATGAAGGCAATGATAGAGTGATGCCAGTCATCACATTATGTACAAGCCACATCAAAATATGTACGGAAAAACTAGCAACCACGAACACGCCAAAAAGAAAGACAATAAATCAATCGTTCTTGTGCCGATCACCACGTTGCGATGATGCATACTCGCTCAGATCCGTCCTTGATCCTGCCCGAGAGGGCATTCGCGACTCGGCCATTGACTCTCCTGTGCTTACAGCGTGGAAAGAGAAATCTAATTCGCCGACTAAGCCTTTGACAAGCCTAGAATGAACAGCCCAATTAGCAACCCTATCTAGGTCTAACAACGAAGTTTCGATTAGAAACCTACCGGAGTAATCTGTCCATATCACCGACAATGCAGCGGGTCGAGATCTGGAGAACTGCAAATGCCGCGAATCCCGGCTCAGCAATGTGTCGGAGGCTAAGAAGGTCACTGTCGAGTTCCATAAGTCGCTTCGTGAAGCTGTACGGACGGGGTGCTTTGAGATACGGCGGCAAAGGTTGTCGGTTCGTAATGCTAGCAGAGAGAAGGCAGAGCAAAGATGTGACCTCGTGAGTTGTCACTTTAGCAGTGTTGATCAGCCGTCGGAAATCGGTCATCCAGGCGGTATCTGCAGGATCTTCGTCGCCGAGGTTCATAAGTGTATCAGATGCGTAGCCCAGCAAGCTGAGGTAGTTCACGATACTAAAAGACAAGCACTGTCAGTACCTGGAAAGGATGTGGGAGGGCATGACATACTTTTCTACACAGAGAATAATGGAATCATACTGCTTCTTGGGGAATCGACCTCCAACTGGAACCTCCCAGCGAAGAAACCCAGAGTATGTCCGTAAGCCGGCTAGCATAAGCATCTGCTTTGAGAAAACTTTGTGTCGCGCTTTCTCGAGTTTGCGACCGGAAGAGGTCTTGAGTAGGTATTCACCCTCATCACCACGCATGCGGCCGGATATCGTCTCGTGGATAATCGAGTAGTAGTTTGCCAGAAGATACAAAGATGCCCCAAGACTTTGACGGAGAACTGAATGCTCAGAGATTGGATATGGGAAGAATGTCCAAATAAATGCGACAGCAATACCTCCAGCGACAACAGCCAGGCGATAAGGTGCCAAGAGGTAAATAGGGTAGAAGGGCTGCCCGTTGGATGTCGCGACTGCCTCACCGACTCGGCGAACTTGGAGCTCATATCCGATGATCATGCTTGTAGTGATGATGCTGATGATCCCGACAGCCCGGAAGCGGAACATCTTGATGGGGATGTAGAAGGCGATGGATACAAAGATAAACAGGAAAACGATAATACCCGGTGTATGTTTACCTGGAATATACCAGATCAGAAGACATGCTACCATTGCAAGGAATGTACCCAAAATCCGCAACACGAAACTGAAAATGCTCTGTCCTGATGTGGGAGACATGCTGAGATTGATCATGATCAACGCCCACACCAATCTTTGCGCAGTGAAGAAGGTCTGGGTATCGCGTAGGAACCCGATTACTGCAATTGTCATGGTGGCGCAGGCAACACGGAATCCGTAGGTCGACTCAAATGAACGAAGGAACCCCGGGATAACCCGAACTTTGTCTCCAATCCTCTCAAAAAGAGTAGTCGGTGGTAAGTGCTCGGGGTCTTTGCGCAGTTTATATGCTTCGCCAAGCTGAAGGATGTTGTTTTGTGTATGAATGTCACCCATATTATCATCTTCGTGATCCTGAGCACTCAAAAAGGACTTGGCCCACTTCCACACTCGCTTACCGCCAGGAATGACTAGTCGAGTTTTTGATAGCTTCCCTTTTGCCTCAACATGATTGGCATAGCGGACAAAATCGAGGACGGTTTGACCAGTCGAGTACAGCAATTGCTCCATCTGAGTTTACGTTAGCTTTCATCATGTTGACTGACTGGTAGGCAAAGGCTTACATAGAGAAATAGATACAGCTGTCGTCGGCTTCGCTCTTTTTGTGTAGCCGAGGTGTCCAAAAAATCGGTATTCAATGCTTTAGGCGAAGTAGGGTGGTCGAAAAAGTCGGGCGGGAGCGTGACGCCTTTCTCCTCAGCCCATGTTTGCAAAGCAAGGCGTTTCGCGCTTCGAAATTCGCCAAGTTTCTTTTCAAAATGCTGGGTAAATGCTTTTTCTCCAGGAGCAGTGTCTTCGGCTGTGGCCTCGACATCTTCGCCTCCCTCTGTTGAATTCTCATCTGAGGATTTGGCTGTAGCTTTGCGTTTGGGTGGCTTTGTAAGCCCGAAAACATAGGACGTATGTAGCAATCCCTCATCAATAGTTTGGATCATCACTGCGAAAGGATCGTGCACCGCCCTCATGATATCATTCCACTCGCGCACAACGCGCTGTCGGATATCCTCTGGGACTACCGGCTCATTTAGATCAATGGGCTGATTCCATCTGTTATAGTCTGACAGTCGCTGAAAGATATCCACCACGAAGCTTAACCCCACAACCGGGATCATGATCTGGCGAAGATGGCGGAAGATGGCCTGAAGATCATCAGGTCCCAATTTTCCTAATGCAACCTCACGCTTCGCAAATGTGAGATCACCGTGGAGTTTTGCGTGGATATCTGTGATCTGTCGCACCGCACCGCGGATGGCTTCTGCCTCGGGACTGTAGATCTTTCCCTTCTTGCCAAACTTCTCACGGGCGTCATCATATGTCTCCGTGCGCCCGAACATGTCATCTCTTTCCAGTGATTGGAAGTATAGAGCATGGGCATTCAAAGCTGAGCGAAGCCCGCCAATGTAGCCTGCCATTTGTTTGAAGACTACCTGCCGTGACGTCATCGGAAGGATGAATAGTGACGTTGCTGTTGAAATTCCGAGGCCGGTAAGGCATGATTTAAGCAATTGGCCCACCATGGCAAATGCAGCTGTCATGTTCTTCATTTGCGGGGCGTATATCGAAGAAATATTCGCGAAGATTGCGTAAATGATAACAGGGAATTGCAACTGCGGGTATTTGGCGCGGAAGGTGTGAACCATCCAGATTTGGATGAACAGCCACAAACCACTGACTGCAGATGCAGACGAATTGTATGCATCATTGGGGTTATCAGCGGTGTGTTGACGCGCCCTGACACTGCAAAACATTGTCAACAGAGCCAAACAGGCTGCTATGCAGACAGCCAAAACGTCAAAGATCATCATCTGGATAAATCTTGCGCGGGGCATGATCGCAAAGCCCAGAATAGAGACGATAGCCACGAGATAGCCCAAGGTTGTGTACTCATTGGCAACAGGCTTGGATTGGTAGCTAGACCAAGGGTCAGGGTGATGCTGATAAACCGAGAATTTCTAAGGTTGATAACTCACATAGAAACTGCTATTGTGGGTGGGATACCGCCTCTAGAGTAGCCGTTAGAGATCGCCTACTGTGAAACATTGAATGGAAGCTTGATCCTGAACTCACTTCATCATCAAGAGGATGGTGGGTCTGTCCAACCCCGTTTTCTGCCATGTTTTTTTGATAAAACCGAGCAGTGATGTTTTCTCCTTATTAGGGCCATCTTGCGCATCTGGTGATGGCGATGATCCGAAGGATGAGCCCGACTGATGGGATCGAACATGCGCCATATTCACAAAGGGGTCACACAGAGATACACCTCGGCCCAGCCACAAAAGATCCGAATCTTCAGAAACGCTGCATGACCCACGTGACCTTCAAATGAGGGGGATCTGCAAGACGGGAAACAACGATAGATTTAGACAAGCCTCCAAAGTTGGTGGAATAATTTGAAAGTGCTAAGACGTCGGATTAAAGTCCCGATCGTGTCGTGGATGTTTGCAGTACACCCCGCCCTCAAGTGATTGGCTACCACATGTGGGGAGGAATGCTCTCCGCATATAAAATTCGGATATTGATGCCTGATTTGTGAGGCAAACTACTCAGGATTCTTCACGATGCAATTCTTTCATCTGGTAGACTCAATAATAAAATTGTTAGATTTATCTACTTTTCAAGTAGTTGACCTATAAGGCTAACTAACTGGATCCCCTAGAATTATGCCAATCAGTTCAATGACTCTGCCATCTGATAGTCGATTGATCAGCAATGTTCGTGGTATCCCTCATGCGAGAAACAACCCTCAATTTTCAACAGAGGCAACATTTTAAAGGATTAATATAATGGGAGTTGTTACGGACATTGAAAAATATGGAGACCTAGTAATCCACGGTATGGGATCCTGAAAATGTTTCAAGCACGCACATGACTTGCGTAGTATGAGATACTAGTAACAAGAAATTCAAATATAGTGAACCAATTGTATGGTACCTAAATAAATCCCAGAGCATTATTGAAGTATATCATTTCGCGCAACCTCTTTTTCATTGAAAACCCGTCCAGTCTTTCCCTAAACCCAGCAATTTTGTCCGAAGCAGCATATGGAAAGTCCGAGCCTTGATGGAAACCCATAAGTATTTCCCAGTTTTGTTATGAACCTTGGACTTACCATAGGTTATATGTTCATGGGGAACAAGCTCCAATAGAAGCTTCATCACAGCAGGGGAGCTCGATAAAGCAACGTCGTAATAGAAAGATCGGAGATCATCCATGATATCAGCATATGTTTTCCCATAAGTCTTTTTAGTATCCTCAGATTCCTGTGATGTAACAGCAATGCGGGAAACTAGAAATGGAAGCGTTCCACCAGCATGCGACAGGATTTTGACACAATTTGGGAATCGCTGTGTGACGTTGGTTATGATCATATCGACAGCTGCCCTTGTTGTTTCCTGTGGATAGTCTATAGATGGCTGTGGGAGGAGTGGATTGACTCGCGCAAGGTCTACCGGATGGGTAGGATGGATAAAGGTCACTGCTTTCCGCTTATCGAGCTCTGCCCAAATGGACGTAAACATCGAATGGCCTAAATAGTTATTGCCATCACCGTATCTCGTGAACAGTGTGACACCGTCGGCGTTCAAAATGTCCATAGCATACTGAATTTCAGCCAATGTGCCCTCAGTGTCCATCAACGAGGGCAAAGACGCGAAAAAAGCCAAATTTGTCAGGATGTCTGTCACGCAGGCCAGCAGCATATTCATTAGCCTTGCGGGCCAGATGTCGAGCTTCCGTCTGGGTAGCGGCAATTGTTGCACCTGGAGCAGTCAATGAAAGAATGGCTTTCTGTATCCCATTTTCTTTCATGTTGTCTAAAGATAGCTGGGGGCTCCATTCAGGAGTGGGCCAGCCGGACGGATCGCCGCCAGCTTCTTCGAGGGCTACTTATTTTGTTAGTTGTCCACCAGTATAGCTAATTGGATATATTAACTGCTTGCCTTTGACATAGAAGTCAGGTACGAAATGGTGATGGGTATCTATCTTAGGTGGCTTGTGGGTCAGGGCAGTTGTTGGTTTTGCAAAGTTTACTAACCCCAGAGGACACAAGAAATGAAAAAATAGAGCACGGGAAGGATGTGCGGAAACTAGTAGCAGGCTCAGCAGGATTATGAATAAAGTCATGGCTGCACTCGGGAATGGAATGAGTTCAGGATGGAAGTAAAAATTGGCGGATTCAAAATGCACTTATATATAGTATTTTAGATAGCTACCTCGTGAACACAGAACTACAACTACGTCCTACCGGACCCCGTTCCGAAAGTCCTCTCTGCGTAAAGGATAGAGATACGTATCATGAGAATTTATTCCACGAGCTTCAATTGGAGCTTGCTGTGGGAGATGAACCGAAATTTCGAAAAAGTGCCGTATATTGATCGTAGTCCGAGGTTATTATGCTTCATCCAGAGCTAGCCACCTTTGCATGCTTCCCGCCAAGGGTGTTAGCCGAAATATACATAAAAGGGGGATACTGATTACCAGCTTCCCCGCAAATCCCGGGGCTAGTTCCGCCATCTCTCCGGAACTATTTGGGTGGAGGTCGGACAGATCAGAGCCAAGACCGCTCATAGTGGCTAGAGAGGCTGGATTTTAGAAGACAAAAAGAACATACTTGATTGTGGATATAGTGTTTTGATCCGGGAGTCTAACCACGGATCCCAGACGGTCAAAATGTTGCCAGGCAGGCTATAAACCGGATCACGCCGTCCTAGCCACCATTCGCACCGTCCCACCCGCAATATTACGATTAGTCCGAGAAGAATCGTTGCGAGTCGAATAGTGCAGGGAGAAGGAGCAAAAAAAATCATACTTTCGGGTCTCATCCCGGGTCATAGTATGTATCACTACTCGTTCCGGGGTGATTTCCGGGGAAAAGCGGGGGCCCTTGCCTTCAAAGCAATGAGTGTTCAATAGGGAGCCTCATAGAATTAGGGGTTGGCTTGTGGTTTGAATTACACATCCTCTTAGACGTTCATCATGTCCCGCAATCTGAACCGAGGTGAAATTAGGAAGATAACCGACTGCCTTCAAGTTATTCATATAACTTGATTCAAAAAAGACTTAAAATCACAAAGAGAATACCATCAACGCCATGAGATTGAAGGGAATCGTCATAAGATATTAACCGGCGTAACTTAAAGAGCTTGGAGGGACAGGCTGCTAGGTACCCAAGATGACTTCGTTGCGGGATCTTTTGGAGGAAAGGAATTGTACCTTTCTGGATAAGACGATATCAATACAACCGGAGTTATTTTTGTTGCGTGCTTTTAGATCCTTGCCACCTTTCTAGACGACTTCTCTCTTCTTGAATTGAAGTGGCACCCAATTCGATGTCCTTCGCGGAACATATATAGTAACCCAAATCTATGGTGATGAATTTACACAAATACATACTAAAAGCCCAAAACGAGTTGGTGAAATGGAATCGAGACATGAACCACCTATGACTAGTGGAAATTCACTCCAAGTTGTCCTGTATAAAGTGTGGTCCACACCGAATGAAGTGCGGAGTGTATCCTTCCTTTTAGGGTTATATTGCTTCCTCCGATCTTCCGATTTTTCGTACATTGTAAACCCAACAGGGCCCCGAGGTCTGCGCTATAGTTTCCCCAAAAGATTCTAACATAAGATTGCGTCAAGGCATGGATATGGTTGAGTAAACGACAATGTCCAAAATGAGTGCGGTTCTGTTTCTGTCCTTCCCAATAAACAGACAAAAACAACCCAACAATTGCATCGAAACGCTCCATTCACTCCGGTTATTTCAGATACTCCGGTTAAGTTCTTTACTCTTGCTTCTGATACTCCGCGGTATTTTGGTGGGCGTAAGTACATGCGTTGTTAAAATACAAAATGTCTTCATCGAAACATGATATAAACAGCGAGGGAGTCCCCCAACTTTGACATAAAATTGACAACCAGAACCACTGCTTTTGCTGAAAAACAAGGAGAAGACTTGACAATGATTTATAACGCAATCTTCAAGTGGAAGGCCATCACCATGATGGCATTCCTCTTCACTGGATTAACTGTGGGGGCTCCTATGGATCCTCATGAAAACACCATTTCTCATGCTTTCAGCAAGTAAGTAAAATGATGGAAATTTCTCTGCTATTCTCATTCCTACCTGTCCCTAGACCCACGCCCCATCAAAGCCAATGCTGACTCTGCCTCCAGTCCCAGCCAGTGGAACAACACACACAGCCCCGGCACAGAACACGCCCTCGGCGGCGATCTAACCTGGTATAACACCGGGGTTGGAGCATGCGGCTGGTGGAATAACGCGTGGGACCACGTGTGTGCCGTGTCTCATATTGTCTATGACCGTGCGAATGTAGACGGAAACCCCAACCACAATCCACTTTGTGGCCGGTTGATCCACATCCAACGGGGGGATAAGGGTGTAGATGTCACCCTGGTGGATCGTTGCGAGGGATGTGGGGAGTTTGACATCGACGTCAGCCGTGGTGCTTTCGAGGTACTCGGTAACCTCGATGAGGGCCGGGTTCACACTGAGTGGTGGTGGATATAGATAGAGCCATGATTTGGTAACCACCCCTCAAAGTATCATTAACTGTGATATGGGCAGTGGAGGCTGGTTGGTGGGTAAAAACAAGAAAACGAAGGGATATAGTTCGGACAGTCATTTCATGTGAGGATCTAGAGGCATCATTCATTTAGTACTCGGGCCACGAGGGATCCACTTGTTCTTTCCATAATCGTAGTCCGCCGCGAATGTCACCAATGAATCTCTTTCCATGCTGATCTAGTCCTAGCTCTTTCATTTTCTTGACGACGATTTGAGAGTCGTTTCCTAGGCGGCAGACGACGTAGATTGGGTTCGTAGACTCAGACGAGGCGACCTCGGACGGTAACCAAGAAGGTACTTTTCCAGCGTGTTGCTCATTATCGGTCCCCTGTAACCCTGCGGTAGAACCAGAGGAGAGAATATTCGAGATAGGAATATTGATGCTGTTCTCTAGACTGCAGATCCCAAATTGAGTTTCGTCTCGGACGTCAATTATCGTATGGGGATTTGACGAATCCGACATGGCATTTGCGTGTCTCTCGTTGTATTCTCGAGCAGAGATACGTTCCTCGGGACCAAGTAGCGAAGGCAAGTTTGTGGATCCACAAAAGAACACATAGTCCATTGACCCTGATTTTATTGTATCCAATGTCACAGTTGCCTCAGCAGAGCAGACGGCACAATTGGCTCGGCGCGAACGAAGACGGATTGTGCGGACCAGAGGCGACGAATAAGCAGAGAAGATATGCAAAGACGGGGGATCTCGCGGACAAGCTCCGTCAATCTCAGGCGCAGTGATGACCTTGATTGCCTCCAGGGCTTGCAAGACACCCATTGTCCCAACAACCGGCCCCAGTATACCCCCGTCCGCACAACTGACCACACTATCAGCGGGTGGTGGTTTAGGGAACACACACCGATAGCATGGTCCTCCAGTCTTGTCGCCCGGCGCTCGGGGCGGGTTGTTTAACACCATCAACTGTCCCTCGGTGCGCAGGGCGGACGCAGAGACCAATGGTTTTCCAAGAAGCACTGCAGTGTCTGAGATCAGATAACGGGTCGCCGGGTTATCAGTGCAGTCGAGAATAAGATCATAGTCCTGGAAGACCGCTGGTGCTGCCTCAGGCGTGAGGTGTGTTCGATGGGCAATATACGTGGGATGCGGATTCAATCTGGCGAATGTCACAAGAAATCGTCAGCACGTCGTTAAATACTCCCATACAGATCGACTCACTCTTTCAAGGACTCAATTGCGCTGTCAACCTTGTACTTGCCCACATTCTTCGTCCGGTGTAGGACCTGGCGATGGAGGTTCGACACCTCGACAGTGTCCCCATCGATGAGCCCGATAGTCCCAACGCCAGCACCGGCGAGGTACTGCGCAGCTGGACATCCCAGTCCTCCAGCTCCAACGAGCAAAACCCTAGCCGATCGGAGTTTCAGTTGACCTGCGGATTGATGAAATATTAGTCACACTGTTCAAGGCGAGTAATTCCCAAATTTCCGCCAAAACGAAGCCGTGGCTTACCTTTCAATCCAACTTGCGAAACAATCATTTGCCGTCCATATCGTTTGTATTCCTCCTGGAGCAACGGCCACGGTTTTCCTTCGCCATTCTGGTCCTTCTGTTGGATTTCCGCAGTCGGCGCAGTCTCCGATTGCGCCGCTTGTTCGGCGTTTGCAAGGTCGCGTTTCAGCCCAGCAAGTTGTGCTTCTGTCGCGATAATCTGGGCACGCAAAGAGGCGCATGTTTCGTCGAGAGATCCCATTGAGATTGTTGGCGACAACGCGTGTGGGAAAAAGAAAGTGACGCGTGAGGGGGAAATCTCGAAGTTCCCCGCGGTACTTATTGTGGGGCTCGGTGACGAGGTATGTTGGGTAGAGGTGTACGAGGTCGCGTTGTATCCGGTATATTCCAACGTCAAAATTCTTGTCAAATGTTCATATATGTTGTTCATTTTGATCTATTGATATATAATGTAACGTTCGTGAATCTATGGATAACTTAATATGGGGGATATATGACTCCATCATCAATTTCACTCTTTGTGCTCTGTAGTCTTCGCAGTCTCTGTCGTGTCTGCATTCTCTTCATGCATAATTTGAGTCTTTTGCAAGGTGTGTTCGACATCAGCGAGTCTCTGTTGCTCATCAACAGCACCGAAAATGAGGTCCATCTCCTCCAGGGTCCGGCCCTTTGTCTCTTTGAAGAATACGATGACGAAGACACCCATGGCAAAGCAGAAGATGCCAAACATGAGGAAGGTTTTCCAGCCTATCTTATTGATAGCGCGGGGGGTAACCTCAGTGATGACGAAGTTGAACAGCCATTGCGTGGCGGCTCCGAACCCGACACCGTAGGCGCGCAGACGAGTTGGGAAAATCTGTCGGAACAATGTTAGTCAACTGCAATGGGCGAGGATAAATATAATGAGCAACTCACCTCGCCAAGATATACCCAAGGGACTGGCCCCCATGATGCTGAGTATCCGATGACATATAGATAAATCATCGCAACCATGGCGATGGACGCTGATGAGACGGATGAGGATTTTGTATCGGGGGGGATTGGTAGCCAAGACTGCTCCAATGATGAACATCATACTAGCCATCCAAGCGGCACCGCCAATCAAACTCTTCTTTCGGCCCCAGCGATCGATACCGACGACCAGGAAGATGGCAGTTGCAACCACCTTGACTGTTCCGTAGATACCAGTGGCGAACAAAGAGGAGTCCGTTTTGCTCAATCCGACCTGAAATTATGGAAAAGGTTAGACTTTTGTCAATCCAAAATATAGGAGAAGATGTTGCGGTATGGAAATGGTGTGGTGTACTTACACTTGCAAAGATCTGAGGAGCATAATATCCAATGCTGTTTGTTCCGGAAAACTGCTGCCAGAACATCAGGACGAATGCCAGGAAGAACCGGTATCGGTTGCTTGGCTTCAGGCATTCTCTCCATGTGAGACCTTCGGTAGCCTGCGATTCTTCATGGATGGCAGCTGAGATTTCAGCAAACTCGAGCTGAACAGCATCGCTGGTTTCAGACTCGTTACGAATGTAAGCGAGGGACTTGAGTGCGTCGTCCCGACGGCCCTTCGTCAGTAGCCAACGAGGAGACTCTTTGAGGAAGAATAAACCAATGAGCATCAGGCCACCGGGGATAAGCTGGATGGCAACTGGGATACGCCATTGGCTTGTGCCTTCGGGAACATGAAGCGAGACGCCATAGTTCAGCCAGTAGGCGAAGGTACTACCAATCACCAGGAACTCCTGGAAGAGACCGGCAACACGGCCACGGGTTGCCGGAGGGCAGTTCTCACTGACAAACACCGGGGTGATACTGGACATACCACCGATACCAAAACCGGCGATGACACGTCCGCCATAGATCATGCCAATCTCATGGTGAGCTGCAACTTGGACAGCTGCTCCGACCAGGAAGATCAAGGCAAAGATCATGAGCGAGTACCTCCGGCCCAGTCTGTCGTTCATGTAAGCAGCGAAGATGGATCCGAAGAAACATCCTGCTGTCAGTAGCGAAACCACATTCGAGGAAATCTGAGCGTTCTTCTCGTCGCTGAATCCGGATGACTCAACGGGAAGGCCGAAGTCCTTTTTGAAACTGGTAAGGGCCAGGACTGACCCCATAACACCCGTGTCATAACCTAGGCCGAATATGTCAGTAACATTATATGATCACGTTGACCAAATGCACTAACCAAAGAGCAGGGAGCCCAGGTAGGCTACCGAGGTCAGGATATAGACCCGATAGTTTTTGAAATTGACGAAACCCATTTTCAATTGGATTGGATATTCTCCTCAGACAATCTATCACCAGAGTAAAGATTGACTTCGGGATAAGTCTTCTGTAACACAAAAGGGAGGGAGAAAAGGAAAAGCGCCATTGACCCGGGTTAGGACCCGATTTATATTTGACCGAGAGCTCAATCGGCATAATACCGAGTGGCAATATAAGCATTAAACACAATTAAACGGCCTCAGCGTCATCTCCCTATATTGATAACTCTCCACAAGTGCCGACCTTGATAGTCCGGGGCTCCAGATGTGGAGACTGGGGAACGAATTGGGGAAATTGATGGCGGGGAGGTTGCGGGGCCCCATTGGATGGAAATATCGCTTGACATTTTCTCCATCCATTCAGCAATGCCTTCGATGTAGGATATATGGCCTGAGGCCTTGCTCGCAAGGAAAGCCGGTTGGCGTTGGCTGAACGGCATGGCTTTTTGAGGCGCCCCGAGGATTATTAAGGTGTGGGGGATTGGTGATTGGTGGAAGAATTATATCCGCGTCCTTACCCCCATGGAATTGTTCTCCACAAGATGGGTCTATAGTGCTCATGGAATTTGGGAATCGGAATATCCCGTCAATGGATTTTGTCATATTCCATTTGCTACGTAGGTAGGACTATTTAAAAATTGCCATTAGGACCTAGGAGACGGGGCGATTGTCAAAACTCGCCTGTCCCGTACTATATAATTGCTATCATCGGAGCTAATGAACTAAAAGATAATCATATATTGGACAAGATCATCACATAGACCGCCCTTTGAGTATATCTTCTGAGTCTGCATGGGTGGATTTCATGATCTGACTCAACTCTTCGAATTGGGAAAAGAAAAATAGCGGAAGAAAACGACAGAAACGCAGAAAAAAGCCAATGTTCATTCTAGTACTTCTGTTGAAGGTTCCTTGATAAAAGTCACTCCTAAGACGTTGAGGTGGGGTTGGCATCGAAAGGTGATATTCAATAGACCGGTGGCAGCTCAGTCGTTTCGTAGATCTCCCCATTTCGATAATCATGAACATCAAGGAGCACCCGAATCACAAAATTCGAGTTAGCCGGGTCTGCAAAAACCCCATGCAATACCTTCCACTGGGATCGGAACGCGTCGATCTGATAATAGCAATTATCTGTCTCTGATCGATACGACAGCTTCATATAATACAGGTTTAATCCATAACCACCACAAGACATCATATGTCGAATAATGTCACGGAATGATGCAGCCGTCTTGCATAATCGGGGGTCCTGTGTCATCATCTGATCTGTTGGAGGGAGCAGTTTTCCCTCATGCACGATAGCTGTGAGGACGCGGCAAAGATCCGCGTTACTAAGTGTGTTTTCATTCCTGTCCCAGGTTACCTTAACCTGCATTGGGGAAATCGCTTTAGGACTTCCTTCGGGAGATGAAGAGGAGCATTGTTGAGCTAGCCTCAGGTGGTTAGGTCTCGGTCTTGTCGCTGTCGGCATCCCGCTGTCATATGTGATCGCCTTAGTTTCCGAGGAGACCAACAACCCGAGGGCCTTCTCCCAAGACTTCATATAAGGAATCCATGAGACGTACCCCAATATTGACCAGCAGCGATCGCATCTGTCGTTCATCTTGTTTCTCCAAGACACGAGCTGCGGACGGGGGTGGAAAATATTGTCCAGCGGGATATCGAGCTCCAACATCGCGCTTAGTTCACCGCGATATCTCCTTGTGCGATGGAAGTTATCTAGGTCACTGGACCTGATGTATTCCTCTATGTCCTTGGACATCTGCACGAGGTGCCATGCCATAATGTGTGTAAGCCTCAAAGAAGTGTGCTCCTCCGACTCCCGGGAACGTTGTGGCCAAATTTCGTATGGATCTTCGATACAGGGCAATTCCTTGCCATCCTGGATAAGATGGTTTACCTCAACTTTCAGCGCATGAGTCTGCTTATGTGGAGCCCTAATCCAGGTCTTGATGACAGGCCAGGACAAGGCAAAATGTCTGAGGTCATGTTTGTTTTGAAGGCCAACGTACACGGCAAGCTCTGCCTCATCACGGGAGTCTCGTATGAACATTCTGAAGTTTCCGAGGTCATCGAGTGTGTTATCCGGATGACTCGCCGAACCAGATCCGGTGGGCCATGGTGACTTTTCTCTCTGGAATTAGCCATTGTCAAGACGGAGAGTTTATATGTTTTCTCACCGCACAATGAGGCTCCGCAGGAATCTGTAGATATCCAGATGAGTTTTCCTTGGTGAATTTGTCACCAAGTTCTGGACCATGGGCTTTTTCCTGCTTGTCGGGGTGAATATGCGGCATTATGACAGAAGTAACTCATCTTACCTTCTGCATTTCAGTCCCAGCCGACTGCCCCTTGGGGGTTTTCATCTCCTTGGACTATTGAATCGTGAGTCAGTGACATGATCTCAAACATAAGTGCAGAAAATTAACCCTCCTGGACGTCGGCTCTTGGGACAGTGACCCGGGTCGTTTCCTCTTTCCCTTATCATCAGTTGGACGAATACTAGACGGGCCTGATTCTGAGCTCATGATTCCACTTTAATAATCCGGAACGATAGCCCCGGGGGATAGACGTGTGGTGATTGTCTGTACAGGACCGGCAGAAAAGCAAAATTCTCTGGCATATAGGAGAGACCTCTCTGGGACTGCAAGGAAAAGAATTGCCCGATACCATGAGAGGCTAATTCTGGTTCTGTGCAAGGGGGAGGTGCACACAGGAGCCGGAGAAGGAACCGGAGAAATGGTTGAGAGAATTGCCATAATTATCTCTCACATAATCTCCCATAGTGATGTTAGCTAAGTGGCCCACTAGATTTCTTTTCATTCTTCAATCCTTCTATCTATCGCAGTGAATTAATACTTTAAACCTTGGGATATATGTATTACGTTCGCTTCAAAGGGGGTGTATATACAAATGTTGACTAGCCCTATGTTGCTCCTCTGCCTCGTTACTCCCTTTCGTTGCACAGGACAAGTCTAGATCCGTAAAGCATCTGGTATCCATGGGATGCGAAATACCATGTGTTTCAGCAATCTAGTCTGCTTCAACGAATTAATTGATGTGAAACGGACTACATCCACAGAACACGGCCAGTGCGTGATATTGCCCAAGATTCCAATCTAGAACAGAGCTAGCAATAGAACTTTGAAGGAAGGTCCTAAACCTGACGACCTTGCAAGTTTCTCTAACCTGCCTTCCATGCTTTGAGGGTAAGATATGCGATTGTGCATCCCATTGCACGAAGTAACGCGTGTATGGACCAGACAAATTCAACATTTGGACCCACAAAGAGAATAACAGGGTAAGGTTTGTCCATCTACCCAAATGTTAGATGTTGCACTAAGACACTTGCTGCCTGCTTGGACATTGTCAGACCTCTCTTTGGGTCTTTATGGTGACTTTGTTTGGTCCATATACGCTTTCCTTTGTTGGTAATTGCATGTTTTCCTTCGTCTCCATAAACTTACACAGCTAGTTTCACCAGAGCATTGCCTCAAGTATTAGCTAACAATCAAAGCGATGACGAATGCCTTGTCAAGGCGGAATTTCATCAGGATGTTGCCATGGCTTCCTCCCAGATGGTGTCAGAACCCCCGAGTTATTTTTCCCACAGTCCATCACCATTTCCCTTTTCCAAAAAGCAACTAGGATCTTTGAATCTACTGATTACTTGAGGTCTGTTTGAACAGTCCAAACCAAACATTATTCCAAGACAATATTTTGATCGAGCTTGTTATGAAACGCGTTGCCCAAAAAGCCAACAAAAGACAGAAATCGCTGCAAGACAAACCAAGGTTCGTATTATTGATTACTATTGATCTTTAAAATCGAGGGGATCTTGTTCTTCACATTTGGACATTATTGATGATATGCTCGTGGAAACTGCCCATCTCGCTTAAAGTTGCATAATGGGGATTCGTTAGAACAAGTCGAACATCAACACACAGACACAAACGTATATCCCCACCAGTTCTGAGCAGCCCTACTTACCAGCCCAAATCCAAAACACACCTCCTGATCGTAGCCATGCCATCCATCCTGGAGTTTGAATGCATGGCAACTCCGGTGCTGAGCGAGCAGATTGCGGAATAAGCTAATCACTCGTTGTCTCATAGGACTCCTTGTTGGCTTTTCGCTGCAACATTCTTCGATACGCAAATAGGGCGATGATTCCAACCACGACTAGGAAGACGATGCAGAACACAAGCACCACGCCGCGGTTCCTATTCGCCCAGTTGCCCTTGTGGCCCGATCGTTCAACAATCTGATGCAGAGACAGGTATGCGGATTTAGTGTGATGGATTATTTTGACCGCCGCCATACTATCAGAACAGTAGTAAGTCAACAGTGTATTTCTGTTCCATAAGTCAGTCGCCAGCCAGACAATGGACTCATCAGCTGCCTCATTCAAGAAGATGGGCCGAGGGCCCTTGAGTGAAGGATGTATTCTCACTCGATATTTGGGCTTTGTGGCGATATCGATCGATGACTCGGCTATATAGGTTATATTTCAGCAAGCGTTCAAATTTCATTGTATCAGAACACCATGAACACGATAACGAATGATAACTCCCGACGAAATAAACGATCAAAAGGAACATCTCAATGGCGCAGGGAAAGACACCTACCGTCACACCGATAACAAAAGAACAGCAGACGACGAACTCAGACCACAGTGGGATTCAGACTGACTGGCAAATTGGAATGGATGCGAGAGGATCAATCTAGCAGCCGACGATGATCTTTTTCGGGGGGATGTTGGCACAAGTGCTCAAGCTCACCAGCGTGGCTTTCACTCATCAGGGGAACCTCCGGCACACGACGGACAAGGAACATTGCCAATCGATGATGCTGACTCCCCTGGTACCTTGCATCGTGCTTATCTGACCTTAAGCTGAGACAGATTCGCAGCTTTGATTGGCGCCAGGCAATTCTTTACCGTGGCTATCGCCTTTGGAAGGCTAAACATACCACAAGGCAAGCTCCGCAGAGGTCCGACGCGGAAGTACAAGCTGCAAGCTCAATGTAATTTTACCAGTCGCTATTTATGCGGTTTGCGAATGAAAGCTTGGAGTCGAGTGTACTGGAATAACTGCATGTGGTACACTGACTACTATCAACAAACTAGGAAGTCGGGTCACCTCTGCAGCCATACCGGTACACCTGCGTCACTCGTCAATCATATTCTAAGGTCGGCTACTCGGGTGCCTGGTGACAGCCCGGTTTGGTGTGCCTGGGCTTTCTGGAAACCGGGGACCACTATGTCTATAATTTGTAACTATACATAGGGGTGAGTAGCTATATGACCTCGCAGTAGACCTTAACCCAAACGTTCTTTGAGAATCATGAACCATGATAATCAACTATATGATCTCTAGCAAGAGCTTTGTGCGCATCATATCTCTTTAAGAAACTGTGTTTTGACGTCATATCCGGTAGCATGAACTGTTCGACTTGTTAACAAGCTGTAAGGACTACCAGGGCAATTATTTGATCATCGCCAAGGAAGGTGTGAAAAACCGCATACAATCACATGTTGCTGTTCATTCCATCTACGCCCGTGCACACAAGACAACAGTCTATAAACCATTATGCCCGAGGTATCCAAGATTTACCCTTCACCAAAGAAGAAAACGAACCCACATCCACTGCTGTCATGAACCCTGCAATATCGTATTCTTTGGTGCGCCGAAAATCATGTTCTTTCGCAATAGAGTCCCCCGAAGCATCCTAATATGGGCCCTTACCGATCGTCTACTCACTGCCACTAGGATAGATTTTATTTGTTACGATCACAATTGCCAAGGAAAAATGCTAGTAAGTGGAAATTAAATCTAAACCCCCTGTCACAACTCCAACTCCCCGATGCCACCAAGCATTTTTGTCCCGCAACTCTTGGCAGTGCCATATTTCTTTCCCCCCTTTCTACTCAATGGTGGTATGTGAAAGACCAAAGAGAGCAGCAAACTGCTTATATACTGCCTTACAGATATTAACATCTATTTATATTTGCCTTCCTTCACAATACAACAGAAAATACGATCGTCTACTTTTTAGAAATTTTTTCGCATGCTCATCACCTCGTATTCGGCCCATAGGGCACCAATCACCATACTCCACAGACAAAATAGCTGCAAGCCGAGACCCCAATTTGCAGTTTTCGCAGCATGGAGACAGAAATAGCTAGAGTACTCCGTACTCTGACTCCGTACTCTGATTTAGACTATTATTCTGACAGGGATGTTACGAAGTAAGAGCACAGGAATGCTGCATCCCGTATTCTCGGAAATGGTCACCAGGGGCTAGATATTGACTGGCATGGTATATTCACGCCATACAGCCGCCGCATAAAGGTTATTAGCACATCTCGAGATTGGAATCTGGTTCAGGCGTTGACTGTTTTAGGCTATGTGATGAAGAAGTTTGATTCCCCTATGACCAACGCAACTAATACATACTGGCACGATCTTCCATCCTGCAGGTGCACTAGAGACCACGTTAATCTGCATTCTAAATTAGCTCCGTGGTCTTCAGGCGTCTTTTCCCCACTTGGTATAGATCGACCGCTGCAGTCATCTGAGGGTCCAAAACCGGGAGCTTTAACTGGCTCTGGGAATAGGCTAGAGAATACTCCATACCTACCACGGACACAGACGAGGCTCATTTCAGTACGAAGTTTATTCTCTGCAAATTAAGTGATCAGGGTCCATGCGCCCCCTCACACATTTAACAAACTGGAAGTCTAATCCTGACGATTTTGTTCTTCTTTCTACTTCTATTCACCTTTCAAAAGACCTACGTCGCCATGATACTACCACTATACGCACTGTTGCTAATTCCACTGGTCAATGCATGGACTTTCCGCTATACCAATGCAACCGATGCTACTGAAATCGCCCGTGGCAATGAGGCACAGAACTGCACAAATTCCCCCATCGGCAAGGAGAAGCTTTTCACCTGGGATCCCGAGGGATCAGATCTATGCGTCTCTATATACCGCGACATCAAGTGTGATTCCAGGGCAGGATACTCGTGCAGTGCATGGAGGAAGAATGCCAGTGAAGCGTTTGCGGCTTTCGATGTGCTACTTGAGCGAGAGATTGATGCCAAACACCAAACGTCTACGCTTGCTTTGACATCTACGTCTACATCGGCCACAACATCTACGTCTACGTCCACATCTACATCTACGTCCAAGTCTTCATCTTCATCCGTGTCTTCGACATCTGCATCCGCAAGCACAACCCCTACTGAGGCCGCAGTCTCTGCGGGCAATGTCAACAGCGACTCCTCCTCTAGTCCATCACTATCCAGCGGTGCTATTGCAGGCGTTGTCGTTGGCGTTGTAGCTGCTGTCGCCATCATTGCCGCCTTTGTTGTCATTTTCATGAGAAAGAGGAACAAAAAGAATGCGGCACTTGCTAACCAGCCTGGTGGTTACGGGCCCCATGAGGCGGATGCTACTGGATCATCTATCAGCGGTACCACGGCAATTGCAGAGAAGGAATCAAACTCAGCTGCACGACCATTCAGACCTCCGCCTGGATCCCAGTTTGTTGAGTTGGCTGGCGATGAAGCGAGTGCCGAGCTAGGCAGCAGTCCAATCAGTGAGATGGATGGTAACAGCACCAAGCGAGATTTTCATCGGTTCTAAAATCTACGTGTGAATGATTGGTTTCTATAAGTTGAAGTGGTTGCCTGTGTCAAAGTGTGGTTAGTCTAGTTCTTTTAGTAGCGAGCGAGTTTGGGGTGCTTTGTTCTTCCATGCCACTTGATTTTGATACGTCGGGTCTGTGTTTAGTATAATTCAAACATATGTTACTATTCATTGATGTGTTTATTATCTCTAAATCCATAAATTGCCGTAGAAAAAGGTGTGGTGAGCATAATATGTTTGTTCATGGCATATATAACACCCTTCCGAAAGATACTACAAGCCATACAGCCACCTAAATAAAAGAATCAATGTTGGGTATAAATCCTGTGTGCTTCCACACTCCATAGGGAGTAATTATCCCCTTCCTAACAAAGCTTCATAACCCAAGCCAAACCTGGTAGAAATTAATGATCCTTAAGGATCCCATTCTCAATAACCTACAGAATTCAACTATGTTGTTTATCTCAATGATACAGTCTTCCCTTTATCGCACCAGGAGGAATATCTTGTGGCACAGTGGTTAAAGCAAGACACCCAACGTCAGCTTCGGGCTGAACATCCCCAAGCCATATTTTCGTGTCTCGCATATTCTTCGACCATTCATCCGAAGACCACGTAGAAGACCCAACAATTCCTTCGGTCTTATTTTGCAATAGGGCAACGGAGATAGATCCTAAGAGATCGGGAGCGATCGTTATGATATGGAGGTAGGCACCCACTAATGCAAAGGAGCAGATAACCACCGATGAGACAATGAGGACGGCGAGCCATGGGCGGTTACACCTGACAATATGTTTCAGATGGGTATTTTCGGCAGTCAATTTGAACGGGGTATCCTTAATTGTGCTTGCTTTCATTGTGATCTCCGTCATGTTGACAGAGCCCGTGAATGCCGATGGGCTGATTCCAAGATAGAGCGCAGAATTGAAGAGCTGCGACAGACGCGTTTCGAATACTTTCGTCGTTGTGGTCTGGGGCGACATAAGATTATCGCCGAAAAAGTTCCCGACAGCATGAAAGGGGTCGATAAAATATCCAATTAATGGCTGCAGACCGCCGTTCTCGTCCATGTGTGGGAACAAGGTAGCGAGGAGCTGGAAGAGACCGATGTTATAGCCTTTAGCCAGCTGGAGATCTCCTGGGGAATTGACATCGAAGACAGTCCAATTCTTGTGGAAATGGGATGTATCTACTGAACGACGAGCGGAGCGTAGATTGCAAGTGTTTGCAGACTGATTCTCATCTAAGCTCTCGCATGTCACATTGGCATCGACGTATGTTGTAGTAATGTCGCATATGGCTCGCGTAATGGGGGATCGATGCTTTACAGGGCCGGCATAACCACGGTCCCATGATTCCCATATCAACTTGCGGGCGTTTCGGGTCCTCTTCATAGATGCATTGAGTGAGTTCGAACATGGCTCCGAGATGGCGATCAGGAACTGATTTCCACCCCATGCGCTTGTCCAGCTGCAATCGTTGCCATTCCCGGGAGATGGGGCATCTGGTCCGGTAAAATTGGTGAAGTTCAGAGTGTGTATTGTGTCGAAGACGGGACAGGAGATGGATAAATACGAGCCTGGGAGAGTAAAAGATGTGTTGCCGGAGGTGGGTAAGTCAATCACCGGCACGCCGACGAGAGACGCGTACGTCAAGTTGTCGTTTTTGGGCACATTCATCCAACCTGTACTGTTTTTCTCGAGGTTCTCGATCACAGGAAACCGGATGTTGCCCCACAGATCTTGGTTTCGGGTTGCAAGTAGCGAGGCCGCGGAAATGGAAGCAGTCAGGGGATTAGCAACCGATGTTATGGCCTCCGTTGCCGCTTGGTTATAGCCGTACTGGTACGGGGTGAATGTGTTGAGACTGGTCAACTCGACCGTTTTACCTGGGTAACTCGAGACGATGGAAATTACTCGGAGAGAAGCCTGACTGCCCAACGGGGACAAGCACCACAGCAGGACGGTAAATACGGCAACAAAGTTGACAGCACGCAGTCTGATCTGGGTGAGAAAGGCTCCTGTGATGGTCTGGCTGCCGAGACATTGCTCTACTAGCCCGATAGTCGCTCCTCCAGTGGTCTGAATGCGCCATGATGCAATGCTTTTGATGCTGCTACCGGCAATGGCAGCGAAAAGGACGGGGAATACAGTGGGTGCCTTTAAGAGGAGATGTGGTGTCAGCTAGGTTTGTTTGACGAGAATGAGGACGAGTTTAGGGTCAGGGCAGCTAACGTATTGAGAGGCCTCAAATAGTTTAGAGCCTATAGACTCTGGGCCTGCCGGTTTTCCGTCGATACAAGCAACCCATATACCAAATACTGTGAAGAGAGAGGCTATAATAGCAAGAACCAAGTCCCATAGCAGACGAGTAATTCTGTCAAATTGAGAAAGCCTGAGGGGCTGCGGTTGAGGCTTCTGCTCGTCGATCTCCGGAAGTTCGATTGTTGTATAATATTGAAATTCCGATGATGACCTTCGATTTGAGCGATTTTCGTCTACTGGAACAGCCCCGTACGGGGGTCGCTTTAAGTCCCTCATCTCGTTGGGTTTCTTGGTCCACAATTTCCGTAAGAGCAACATTGGAGGGATCTCCTTGATGTAAGAAATCTCAGGGTACACACTCCGTCCTCATGCAGGAGAAATAAGTATTATTTATAACGCGGGCGCTAATCTGGACCTTAGTACGAAGTAGTGAGCACGACTCAACACATTAAATGGTTCGCAATTGGGCGCTAGGGACTCCTCTCGGGCTCGTGCGACGCTAAACATGCCAAATGCCCATCATTCCCATTTACTAGTGCTAGTTTGGTGCTTAAATCAAGCTGATTGGGTATGAGCTGCATACCCAGCCCCCTAAAACCGGGGCGCCCATTGCCCTGATACGTCAATCCATTCAACCTGTCACACCACAACTACCCGACCTTGACGAGGGGTAAATCATCTGTTTTAAGTACCTTGCAGGGCATTAGATATGGGAGAATCTGATTTGTATTGAGAGGCTGAATGGAGATCTGACGCTATTCTTCTTAGCACGTTGAAATCCAAATTTTTATTTATAGCTACCTTTTTATGTTTACTGATATTTGCACTCAAATCAATCATGCCGCATAAAGTTCTGAGTGCGCTCCCAAGTGCAGATGCCCTTTGCCCAAACAAGGGGCTCCAGTGGAAGGATCGGCTACTTCGCATCAACTCCAACCCTGGTGGCACTGAAAATGATAATCTTTACCGGACACAATCCAATGTTATTTTAGAGATTTTGTCTTGTTTCACGTTGTCTTATTATTCCTATTGCGTTTTCGGGGCACCTACTCCATACTTGGAAGGGATTTTGCCTGGCACGGGAGATCAGCATCTGTTCCCCATATCCCACGATACTCTATTACAATTAAGCGTTGACACCCATTTAATGAAAGTTAGGGTACGAAGTATGAGATAGAAAATTCCCGCCATGAGAAGTTAAAGACTCCCGTCAGTATTTCTGTCCTCGCCTTGGGCAGTAATAGGGCTACGTCCCGTTCATTCTATGCTTTTAGTCTGCAAGACTTCAATTCTCCTCTAATATGTTCGAGGATATCCGAACATATATCAATGCACGCTCAAAGCTCGAACACTAGCAATGGCCGAATATGGCAAAAAAAAAAAAAAGATTGAATAGCCAAATTCTTATAATCGATAATTTTTATGGTTCCTTCTTGTTGATACTATGCTTTGTGCTCCGTACTAACCGTTGGAGCGGTGTCGGGATTTTGTTCGGCACGTCATTAGGCTTACACTATCACAGCCCATTCCCAGTAGTTATGTAGTTTTATGATGCATATTATTGGGATATTAAAATCTAGAATGTCGTTCATAGTAGACAAATAACCTTCATATCTCCCCCGGGTCAAACCATGGTTTTGCGACCGGGATCCGGGGCGTATTACCCTTTGGGGACATCACGGCAGTCCATAGCGGCACTGGTTTAATCGAGTCCCGCAGCACTTTGAACGGATCAACCGGGGAAATCAACACTCCATGACGACATGGGCTACCATCAGGGTGATGCAAAATGGCCGTTCGATCCTTAGGAAGCAAATTTTTTCAAACGATTAGGCTTTTGAATTGTGTATATATATTGGTTGTTCCCTAGATAAAATCAATCTTAATAGCCAAGTGCATAGCATATTATATCATTTATCGGAATGTCTCACAGCCCACACGATACTAGCTCCAATGAAAGTGATGACCTCAGTACTATCGAGACGAGGCCCGATCGTCGACTGTCGGAAATTGGGTCCATGCGCTCAGGGACCATCAATCGCCGTCAAAGCAACTTGAACGAAGTCGAGCTAGAGCGAATCAATACTTATCGACTCCAACATCGCTCAACTGTCGGCTCCGGCATAGGAATAACACCCCCTGACCAGTGGCTCCCCCTCGGAGCTGGCAAGCCCCATCCCCCATCTCTCCCAGACCCAGAACAATATATCGTCGAATTCAACGATGCAGACGATCCTCTACACCCCCAGAACTGGTCCCTCAAACGCAAAATCGGTATATCCGTGACTTTAGCCTATACAACCTTCGTTTCTTCCTTCGCCAGCGCCATCTACTCCTCTGCGGTCGGACACATCAGTGCTCACTTTCACATCAGCACCGAAGTCGCTATCCTCGGTGTGACCCTGTATGTTCTGGGATTTGCTTCGGGTCCGACGATATGGGCACCGGCAAGTGAGCTCATTGGGAGGAGATGGCCAATCTGCATTGGCATGTTCGGGTACTCCATTTTTGCCGTCGCAGCGGCGACCAGCAAGGACGTCCAGACCTTGATGTTGACGAGGTTCTTCGCTGGCTTTTTCTCTGCTTCCCCGATCGCTATTGTGCCGGCCGTGTTTGCCGATATTTGGAATAACCAGACACGTGGCGTGGCTATCGCGATGTTTGCCATGGCTGTATTTGTCGGGCCTTTCGCATCGCCATTCACTGGTGGCTTCATCACAATGTCGTATCTGGGATGGAGGTGGACCATGTACATCGCGTCCATCATGGGATGGCTGGCCACTGGTCTGTGTCTTCTTTTCTTGAAAGAGACCTATGCACCCGCCGTCCTGGTGGAAAAAGCGGCCATCCTGCGACGACAGACTCACAATTGGGGAATCCGTGCTAGACAGGAAGAGATCGAGCTTGATTGGGGCGAGCTGATCACGAATAATTTCAGTCGACCATTCCGCATGCTTTTCACCGAGCCAATTGTTTTCCTGGTATGTGATTTATCAGTGTCTCGAACTGATTCATGCTAACTTTCCTTCAGATCTCTCTCTGGATGAGTTTTGTATATGGCCTGATGTACGCACTTCTCAGTGCCTATCCCGTTGTATTCCAAGGAATCCACGGAATGAACCTCGGTGTGGGAAGTTTGCCATTCATTGGATTGATTATTGGCGAGGTTCTAGCCGGCGCCTATATCCTTTGGGATCAGCGATCATATTCCAAAAAGCTAGCCGCTAACAATAACATTCCGATTCCGGAATGGAGACTTCCTCCTGCCATCCTTGGAGGTGTTTGCTTCTGTGTCGGACTCTTCTGGTATGGCTGGACCGGATGGACAAAGTCAATCCACTGGATGGCCCCCACTGCCAGTGGAGTCGTCACTGGATTCGGCATCTATGTCATCTTCCTCCAATGCTTCAATTACTTGATTGACTCATATTTGACATTGTAAGCATCTTTATTCCCGTTCTAGCTTTACCGTGGCGCCATATCCTGACTTTGAGATCTAGTGCTGCATCTGTGTTTGCTGCGAATACCATTATTCGATCAGCGGTGGGAGCTGCATTCCCCCTGTTCTCGAAGCAGATGTTTCAAAACTTGGGTGTGCAATGGGCCGGCACCCTTCTTGGATGTCTCGCGCTCATCATGATCCCAATTCCCCTGGCGTTTATCAAATGGGGACCTGCATTGCGCAAGAAGTCTAAGTTCGCTCCCATCTTCGAGCCTGCTCTTGTGGCAAGTTCGCGAAAAGGGGAGGAGGCGGTTTAGGTGCTGGTTCGATGTGATTTTTCTGTTTTATATTTGCATACATATAATTTCTCTTTTATAATCGTGATATCCATAGCCTCAAAATGATAAATTTCAATCAGCAGACTTTCTCTCTGTGTAGTCCATTCATTCAAGAATGGATGAAGTAAAAGGTCGGTCATAGCTGCGATCTTGTTGGGGGGGGGGTTGTATCAAACCTTGGAAGGATACCATCCATATCATAGATAGCACAAGTTCATGCTTAGAAGGGACATGGCTTGGCACCATCCTGATTATTACTCCCAACACGTGTGTGCGTTATACTGCCACAAAGAGCGGTGAATGCAACGCTACGCGTAAATATAATGCAATATCAATCTGTCGTTGATGTGCATTATTTCGGTATACTCCGCATATATACAAGAAATGGATACGAGATCACCAGATTGACTTTTTGATGCCTCGGAGTTTTTCTCGATGTCTTCACCTGTCGCATACCCACGTGGCATAGCGCCTCAATAATTTCAGGCGAGGCCCTTCTTTCTCCAATGGGCAGAGCATGCGCATGCCACCAATTGGTGTAAGCAGCCCCTTGATGGACGAAGGCTTGATTCATGTCAGACCGAACAAATCCGGTATCTGCGGGTGAGATTCGTTGATAGCCCACGATCGGATATGGCCGCCCCAGATATCCCAGAGCCATCAGACTGGGGATATTTGGGTGCAACATTTCTCCATACGACTTATGTCATCGGCTTCCTCCGTTATCGAGAGCCCTGCAGATTTTCCAAGCACACGACACACACAAATGATAAGATAAAGAGCCCACGAGGGCTGAGCGCACCGGTGTCTTGGCATTCCAGGGTCTTGGCATTGCAGGGGTGTTCATCTATGTTGTACACGGAATTTTTGCAAGCATCGTCCTTTGAACATTCTAGGTGGTTTCAAACACTTTTTATGCGCAAGTAATGTCCATTGATTTTTTTTCCGTCGCCGGCTTGCCGAGTCTTGATCCGTGGAGAACCCTGAACAAACACTCCTGTCGGCAAACATACAGCCAATGAGGGCATCCACGCGGCATCTCACGGGTGAAACGAGACCCCACCACCGCCCGCCAAGAGTCCAACGAGCCGGAGGTAGCTCAAATTGGAGGCGATTTTTTTTTTTTTTTTGGTTCTTATCAGCAGGCTGTGGTTGGCCGAGGGAAACTATTGAGATTTGCCTATTTCTTTCTTGAAACCTATATTCTACACCTACCTCTACTGGAACATCTTTAAATACTGCGTCTCAACGACGACAGCGTCTCCGGAATTCGCTGTATCCACTGTACACGACCGTGACACTCACTCGCAATGGGTTTAAGTAGCTGGGTCCACGACACGAACGTGCGGGTTGCACGTAGTCCCGTGGGGAAATGGTTTCGCCTGGAGGGCTCCGGTCATGTAAGTGATACTGCATTCTGTGCGACGTGTGACCACATCGTCAATACCAATGCAATCTGAGACTAAACCATGTCACAGCCTCTCGAGAGGAAGGGTAGCTACTTCTTCACTGAAATCCGGGCCGGTCTCGCCACCTTCTTCGCCATGGCATACATCATCTCCGTGAACAGCAACATCACCTCTGCGACCGGTGGAACCTGTGTGTGTCCTGAGGAAGACATGCAAGACTTCTGTGCGACCAATGTCGAGTACGCTATGTGCACACAGGAAATCAAACGCGATATCGTCACCGCCACTGCCGCCATCGCCGCCCTCTCGACTTTCTGCATGGGTTTGTTCGCCAACCTCCCTATCGCGCTCGCACCTGGAATGGGACTGAATGCATACTTCGCCTACACCGTTGTTGGAGTCCGTGGTAATGGCATGGTCCCGTACTCGACTGCTCTCACAGCTGTCTTTGTCGAAGGATGGGTATTCTTGGGTTTGACGTGGATTGGTATGCGGCAGTGGCTGGCGCGTGCGCTGCCAAAGTCTATCAAACTCGCAACTGGTGTCGGAATCGGTCTGTACCTTGCATTGATCGGTTTGACATACAGTGCCGGTATTGGATTGGTTCAGGGTGCATCTGATACTCCCATTGAGCTGGCTGGATGTGTGTCCAGCGCTTTCGACGAAACGACGGGCCTGTGTACGAGCGCATCTAAGATGCGTAGTCCTACTATGTGGATTGGTATCTTCTGTGGCGGTATTCTGACTGTTATGCTCATGATGTACCGCATCAAGGGTGCTATCATTATCGGCATTTTGTTGGTTTCTATCATCTCTTGGCCGCGTACTACCCCCGTCACCTACTTCCCCTACACCGAGCTCGGAACTAGCCAGTTTGATTTCTTCAAGCAAGTGGTCACTTTCCATCCTATCAAGCACACCCTGCTCGCTCAGGATTGGAACCTGGCTGGCAAGGGTGGCCAGTTTGGACTTGCTTTCATCACATTTTTGGTATGTCGCAAGTTTTTGATACAGTGAGAAATTCAAGACTAACATGTCCACAGTATGTCGATATTCTGGACACCACGGGTACAATGTACTCTATGGCCCGATTTGCCGGTGCAATCAACGAGGAGACCCAGGATTTCGAGGGCAGCGCCATGGCCTACATGGTTGACGCAATTTCCATCTCGATCGGATCCCTTTTCGGCAGTCCCCCCGTCACAGCTTTCGTTGAGTCCGGTGCCGGAATTTCCGAAGGTGGTAAAACAGGCCTGACATCATGTGTCACCGGAATTGCGTTCTTCATCGCGGTATTCTTCGCCCCAATTTTCGCTTCCATTCCACCTTGGGCCACGGGTTGCACCCTCGTGATTGTCGGTGCGATGATGGCCAAGGCTGCTGCCGATATCAACTGGCGGTACTACGGTGATTCGATTCCCGCATTCCTTACTATCGCCATTATGCCCTTCACATATAGTATTGCCTACGGTCTGATCGCCGGTATTACCAGCTACATCACCCTCAATGGTATTGCTTGGTGTCTTGAGAAGATCAGCGGTGGCCGCATCATCCCGCCTAACAAGGAGGAGTCTGATCCTTGGTCTTGGAAGGTTCAGGGCGGTTTCCTCCCACCCTGGGTTAAGCGTGCTGCTCATGGAAAGAAGGACTTCTGGAAACCCGATGAGGAGTATGCTGAGCCGCATGTTGCATCTGGTGAGGCTGTGTCTTCCTCTTCCTCGTCGGTGGAACGGGTGCCTCTTGAGAAAGGTCATGAGTCTACCGCTGCCCCAATCAAGTCGCAGTAAAGTCGATGGAAATATTTGGAGGATGAAGGTTGGAGGTTATGATATGGTTGTAATTTTTATTTGCATGGCATTATAGCGGATGTGTTCATTTTGTATACTTTATTTTATGTATTTATTGATTTACTATTCATACCTGTTGTCTTTTCGCAGGTGTTGTACATGCCATGGAATGAACATATTGTTTTAATACCACAAAAGTCCTCTATGTAGTTGAAGACGTGGTGGTGGAAGCAACGGAAATGAAGTAGTTGAACGATTTCGGCCCCCGGGGCAGAGTTTCCGCTGATGCCGTATGTTTTAGGTTTTGTCGATCACCCAGAAGCTACTCTCTAAACGGGTCATGGAGTGGCATAGCGTTGCCATTTATAGATTTCTCCAGAGGGGTGCCTTCTGTGTATCTAGTGGAGACTAAACTTATCCCTGACGATGTTTAAAGCCCTTGGGTGTATCCTACAATGGAAAAGGTCTTTAATGATGCATTTCACTTATCCAAAATCAATTACTCTTGTCCTTGACGGTTCTACCTAAAGATAGTTAATCGGAGGATATTGTTACAACACCTTTGGGCGATATTTCGGCTGATATAAGAAAAGCGACACTCCAGGCCTGACGCTCTCTCGAGTAGTGTAGCTAATCAAGGCTGTCCAATACAACAGAACCAACTTTTCTCATTTGAATATATATCATGCAATTCAATCACCCTCATATAATCATCCTTTTCATACTCTTAACCCATAGGTGGCTAGTAGGTGGCTAACACTATGATTATGCCTCCTCGGAACGAATAGAAGTGCCTCGGGAGGCATGCTCCTGGGATGTGCCTCATCAGACCATAATTGACAATTGAAATATATATGTACCTGGAAGATTCCTCGTTTTGGGAGAAGCAGAGGACTGATATACCGGGTACTGATTTCTTATGAATTGGCGTATTTTGCGTACATTAAACTTAATTACGCAGACATTGAATAGATATAGACTAGTGGTGTGGATATGGGTAATCGGATGTCGTGTGATACTTTTGATAGGTTGTGCGTAAACCCCGCTAACCGGATGATTCAACCTCATCCACATAGACTGTACCTATTATGGTAATGAAATCGTGTGTTTCCTGAATGTTGAGAACGGGACTAGCCCATTGGATTACGATGTAATCCGGGCTCCCCCAGTAGACACTAACATACCGAGGTCTCCGAGAAGATATTCGAGGACCGGCTATAAATATGCAGGCACCAGCCTTCCACTACCACATTGATTGTTCTCAGTTATCCAAACCCTCAGAAGGAATCTTCGAATATAGATATTCAACATATACTCAAAACCAAACCGACAGATCTTGCAATGGCTACTACACAGGGCCTCTGCGACCCTGCATTCGACCGGGTGCGTGAACTTTTCGAACAAAGACTTGCCTCGGGAGAAGAAGTCGGTGCCTCAATCTGCGTGAACATCGACGGGAAGAATGCCCTCGATATCTGGGGCGGTCATGTAGACGCCGCCAAAACGCGCCCATGGGAAGAAGACACTCTGATCGTCGTCTTCTCGTGTAGCAAAGTAGCCACTGCCCTGGCTGCGCTGATCCTCATTGATCGTGGCCTGCTCGACGTCGAAGAGAGAGTGTCAAAGTACTGGCCGGAGTTTGCAGCCAACGGCAAAGAAGACACAAAGGTGTGGCACATCCTCAGCCACTCCTCTGGTGTGCCCCATTGGGAGTGGCGGATCCCTCTGGAGTCCATTTACGACACCAAAACATCCACTGAGATGCTCGCTGCGCAGGCCCCTTGGTACAAGGCCGGCGAGGCATCTGCCTACCAGATGGTTAACCATGGACATTTAGTCGGCGAGCTGGTGCGGCGCATTAGCGGGAAGTCGTTGAAGCAGTTCATTGCAGATGAGATCGCGGGTCCATTGGGCGCGGACTTTGGTCTCGGTGTGGCCGAGAAGGACTGGCCGCGTACGGCGGATATCATTCCCGGTGCGCCTACACCCTTTCCGCCGATAGACCCGCAAAGTGTTGCGGGTAAAGCCTTGCCCAACCTCATAGTCAACCCCGAGTGTTCCCAGACGCCCGGGTTCAGGGGGTGCTGGCGTCGGTGCCTCGAATGGCTTTTCAAATGCGCGTGCGCTGGCTCGGATTGGTTCAATTGTATCCTTGCAAGGGACGGTCGATGGGAAGCAGTATCTTGGGCTTAAGACTATTGACCAGATGCTCCAGGAACGGGTTAGTGGTGTCGATCAGATGTTGTTGCTCAACATTAGATTTGGCCTTGGAGTTGGCCTGCCGGTGCCAGAAACTGTCACCTTTATCCCCGAAGGAAACATTTGCTTCTGGGGAGGCTGGGGTGGATCTATGGTGGTTATGGATCTAGATCGCCGCATGACTATTGCTTACACCATGAACAAAATGGGATCAGGTATCCTGAGCAATGCCAACGGCAAGGCTTACATTGAAGCCATTTATGAAATAATGGCAGACAAAAGGCTGTCTGCGTCGATCTGATGTGAAAATATATTCCTTTTGTTTCCTTGAACAATTTGCGCGGATGATTTTGCATATGGAATGGAACGAACTCCCTCTACATATACAAGATCACTTTGTAAATGAACATATATTTCATCAGCATTGATAATCCGAACCATGAATGCCATCATTGCTCAAGTAATATCCCATTAGCTGGACTTCTTGGCCTTCGAAACCTGCTGCTTGCTACCACCAGTTTCGGTAAGCACCAGCTCATCTCTCTCCCAGATCAACTCCACTGCAGCACCTGCGGGTCCAGCAAAAGCCGTCAACAGAGCAATCTTGAGTAGCAGACTAGGCCAAGAGACAGTGTTCAGCAGGTGCTTGTGAGCAACTGTGTACAATGACGTAGCCCAAATCAAAACTCCCGCAGAACCAATCATATAGTCCCATTGGAGGAAAGCCTGGACACCTTCACCGACATTATCAACAGTCAGCCCGGACCAAGGAAGAGGAACCGAGAAAACATTCGCTGGGTGAAGGGACTTAAGGAAGTGTTCTTCAAACAGAACTGGCACTACAACAGTCGCCAGAGAGATAACCCATGACACAATGTGTGACAAAGACGCATTGGCAAACGCAAATGCGTAGACCCAGCGCAAGCTAGACATGGATGCCCGGTGGTTGTTTGAGAAGAGAGGAGACAGAGTAAAGTAGGCGACCGTTGTCATAATTGACACGTATGCTGGCCAGGGGTGCCAGATAGCAATGGCGATCTGCTTCAAGTCCACAGAAATCATAGAGGGAGCGGGTAATGTCATCGCCACGGTCGGCACCATGTATCCGACAACATAGATGATCGGGAGAGTTGCGAGAACTGCTCGCGGGATGCGGATATTATCAGCATGAGGGCGGCGCGCAGTGATCGAGCTGCCCAGCTGAAGACCACATGTCAATGGGATCCCAAAGGCAAACGTGAATACTTGAGCGATGAGGCCAAATATAGTCGGGCTAAATGCATGGGTTAGTTTTATCTAACATCAAGATGCTGGTGAGTGGGTGTAACGTACTAAGCGGCTATTGTCCCAGCATTGCCGTTTCTCCAAGATTCCATGACAATCAAAGTCCATGTTGCGCCGAATGTACCACTAAATCCAACACCATGAAGCAGCAGACCAGGATTTTTGCCGTCGAGTGCGGGGTAGAAAAATGTGGTCAAAAGAGCCAGCACATGGTCAACTGCATCAATTCCCGTGTAGACTGTGCGCAAAGGCGCATCAATGGTCGGAAGTTTGCCGGATTCAATGGATTTGCGGGCTAATGCATCGAGACCGTTGATAGAGGCAAAATAGAATATGACATAGAACACCAGGGCACTTAAGGAAAAGAGTATGTATCTCATGATGAAAGTTGAAATAGCTAGCGCGGAATTAATCTAAATCTAAATCTGGGGAAACAGGGGGAGTCGGATTTATAAAAACATGGGGCCAATGATCTTCGCCAAGTCCCAAGGGTGTGTGTGAGACCGAGGCCTATGGAACTCCGTGGCGAGCCGAAGGTTGTGCAACTCCCCACACGATCTTCCATCCTCTCACTCACATGTCGACGCGCGAATGGGGTCCGCGCAAATGTAGAACGCGCGCAGATGGGGCTGAATGCCAAGTAGGGGATATCCTGCAAGGTTGTCACCTCAACATCTTGCATCCCCGAATTGGTCTAGCGCTCATCTTCCATCTTCGCCTGAAGTCTCAGGCATCAAATACAACTTGTCTTGGCTCTATTGATCAACATCCACTTCGCCATGGCTGCAACATTGCCGCTTGAAACTCTTCGCCAGATATTCTCCTACCTCGAAGGTGGTCTCGCACCATATTCTTGTGTCTGCGGGCAATGGCAACTCGCCGCTGAGCAACTCACCTTTGCCAGTCTGCATATCAATTCGGTAGACCTTGAGGACTTCCGTCAGATTGCTTTTTCCTCCCATTCCGTCAGTCGATGTTTCCATTTGAGGCGTATCGATTTGAAGGTTGTTATCCCAGAATATAGTGTCGCCGCCCGGGGCCGCTATGAAAACCAAAATGATCGCGACGGCAACAGCAAGGTCTTCACACAGGCTATAACATCTCTCTTTGAAATTTTGAGCTCATGGCCTGATGCCGATCGCCACCAGATCTCGCTGCAGATTTACGCCAACTCTCCCAGTGATTGGGAAGCGGAGACGGATCGGACTGTACGACGTATCCGGCTACAACGATGCTATGCTTTCCCAAAGGAGGAACTGCTACACCGGCGGTACGAACGTTCCTACCTGCAGCTGACGGAGGTACCTCTACCCAACGTCAAGTGTATTACCTCATTGAAGGTATTGGGCTATGGCAAATACCGCAATATTTTACCAGGATCTGTATCTGAGATGGTGGCTCGTCTTCCACGACTGGATACTCTCAATGTTGAGATCCGCGATAGACTGAGAAGGGGTGCTGCAGCGTCTGATAGTCTTGATGGTAAGTTATACCGGCTTCCTTTGTTCAGCTTTTCCAAAATATCCACAGGTTCTAACAGTGTGAATAGATTTCCCTAGCGCTACTTGGCCTTCGTCCCTACGACATTTACGACTAGAGTGTGAGCCAAGCCACCCCTATGGCATGAACTTCTCCCCGCTAGCTAATCCAGCTCCGAAGTCTATGTGCCTTGCTTTGCACCGATTGAGCCAGCAGTTAAAAACTGTTGACTTGTCACAACTCATGATCGACCCTGAATTCTTCTGGCCGGTCAATGCCAACGGCACCACCCCATCCTGGCCAAGTCTTACCAAAGTTAATATAAGCTGCAGGTATGCAGGAAATTTGCTTTACGGTCCTCTTCAAACCTTTGCGCGAGATTCCTCTAGAGTTTCACGGCATGGCTCTGTAGAACCACGCAATGACCAACAACAAATTTTGTCCGGTAGACTGCTAAGCAAACAACTGGATGAGTTGTATCTTGCTGCTGGACACGCTGCAAAGTACATGCCTCGGCTAAAATCCATGGCTCTTGATATTAGCATATCCAACCCGTTGGAGAGTCACCATTATTTCGGATACGATGCAACTTCGGGCAAAGCAACATGGACGATGTCCTCAGATTACCGCCCATCGAATGAAGTTCGAGAAGCATGGGATGTCGCGGCAAGGGCTCATGGACATGCTCAGATGTCTGCCGAGTTTCATTCTACTCAGGATTCTGTTAGTGAGGCAACAGTGTCCATGTGAATATGGAAATTACAAACCAAATCCAAAGGAAAGCAATAGTTTTGAACGCAAAAGCAAATTTGACTAACAATCAATCATACAATACTAGTAAAGTTAGAAGTATATCTAGTGCAAACGACCAACTTGCATCGTGAAATAGACACAACCCTCACCCAAACATGCAACAAACCAACATATCAGAGATTTAGTCCCGAGATATCTACCCTGTTCTACCAGGCATTTCTACGGACATTGAGGGGCTCACCGCCCTTTTGATGGGAGACAGGGGAATTTCCGACAATTATCAGCTGGAAGTCCTTTGTCAAACCCCTCATCGGCAAGAGAAGATCTACGCTATGTCAAGAACACCGCCGGATGGTTCATGGCCCGAGCATGTCGAGCATATAGAGTTGATCTATTGTAATCATAGGAAACTATCGTAGTAGAGTTAGCTAGGATGGGAGTCGGTGCGGATTTCGTCTCTTTCTTCGCGTATGCCCAACCGATATACCCAAAAGGACGGAGAAGCGAGTTGGAGTACAGATGAGCTAGCCATTGTAAATTATAACTATGGTTGAAATCTCTTCCCAGCTAGAAATCAACTAGAAAGGCTGCTTGGCAACTTCCTAGAGGGCCTGCAATTGAACGATACAAACCCCAAGCGTATATTATTACAGCTAGACCCCAAGTATCACGGTCTACATCGTGGTCCCACGAGGTGGCCCCAGGTGGAATCAGATTCGCGCATCCTGTCTGGGTCCAACTTTTACTTCTACTAGGAGGACTATTTGCAAGCCTCGGCGAAAAAGCACCAAATCGGCTGGAACACAACCCGACCGTCGCACATCGCCGGGGTAGTCCCAGATGCGGCAATAAACCTGTTCTAACCCTTTTCAATGTATGCCACAGTCTAGAAATATCTCGACCGACCTCTGGAATACCCAAGCGATATCGAGGTGTCGGGGGCAAATGTGTCTACCCCAAGCGCTCGGACGAACGGATACCTCGCAAGGTGCATCGTATCCTATCAGGTCAAAAGCAAGACCTTCAGCGCATCTGATGACTCCCTGTTCATATGGATGGGGCAAGCTCTGACCTAAGCTCGCTGGGCATTTCGAGATGCCTTGGACGGGTCCCGGTACGAGCGACGACGCCTCCTACGAGACCATGACTATTATTCAATGATCCACCCCGTGGTTATGATTAGCCAAGTGGGCTCCGGTTCAGTTTTAGACTCGCGAGATGGGCGAAGAGGCCGGGGGTTTAGAAGGCGTGGGTGGAGATTGCGGCGAAGGAAGGGTTGCGCGAGAAGGGGTTTCAAAATGTGGACCGCGTCTTTGGCTTCACTAAATGATCCATCATTATGAATTCTCCGATCTGTTTGAGGTAAATGGGAGTCCTAGCCTGAATGTCCATATAATATAGACTAAGTAGGCGTCAACTTACCACACAACCAAAGCCAAGAAGACGGGGTATTTAGGTTTGTTGATTCGATGGGCGAATTTGTGGGTCTGCGGATGATTCCGCCGCTGGCTTGATCTTGATTGGTCCGTGTGGCAATGTTGTATGGAATTAGTGTGTGTGGCTCTCGAAATGCTTGCCAGCCTACCTAATGTAAGAGTATACAGCCTCCTGATAAGATATTTCAGGAATTTTGTCAGGTTGGTTATGAGTTGTGTAGGCAAACAGTTGGAAGCTAGAGCATTAGCTCTCTAGATGACCGAGGAGTGAACAGAGGACAGGTCCTCGTTCACAAGAGGGTAATTGGGGAATTCTTGGCCATTATTTTATTCCATGCATTTAGCACCCCGCTGCAACTAGCCGCAGCAGAAGCAACTAAAGGATCTCTCACCTTGCCTACCATTGCGGTGTCTTGGGCCAGGCTTCCTAGTGGCTTGAGCAGGGCAATATTGAAGGTCTTGAGCTAAACTTCACCCGCCCGCATCCCAGGAGAACTGCAGCGATCTAATGCAGTATCTTACAATGAAGATAAGCATACTTCTAGAAATAGGGCTTGGCATTGACGATTGTCCTAAATCAATAGGTCCTACTGTTCCCTGCTACTTGAACATGACGGTTGGTTGGAATTTGTTTGTACCAAGCGGAGTAACATCGGAAGTGTTTCAGATATGGAGGCTACTCCATTCCATGTACCTACATCGGCCTATGGAACACAGCAATATAGGAAACCGCGCTGCTTCAGACAATTCGTCCTGCCATGAGGCCGCACAGCGTTACTACTGCTTCACTAGGCTATCCCACAAAGCATATTTTGGCAAACTTTTACTGCCCCTTGTAGAGCTGAATTAAACAGTTACTTAACCTCTGGGGACACTAAGCTTCAAAAAAATGCAAGGTTCCATAGCGAAGGCGATATGAAGTAGTTGCTCGCCTACCTGTGCTCATATATATCGTATGTGATAACGTATCCGCTTTTCTAAAATGGTTTCTCGGTCAATATTTGAAGCTTCAGCCATAGTCTCAAACTAGAACACCTCAATGGCAATAGTAAGTTCTATGGATGTGTTGGATAGGAGTGAGACCACCTGTTCGAACAAACGGGTCGCGTTTACGCTAATCCACTTTGGGAATTTTACGGGGAATGTGCCACGTGACACAGCTCGCGTTTCGCATTATGAGGGGTCACCTGATGCCTAACGGCCATTGACCGCCCAACGAGCCAAACAGACAAACATTTCCCCACCATAGCTCTTCATCTCACCTCACAGCTTGGAAAATTAAATTTCTTCTTCTCAATTCCCAATCGAATGCTCGCAGCTTGCTTTGAATCAACTTGGTTTATGGGACTGGCACATGCCGTCCCGGTACCTCCGACAAGATGCTGAGGGATTCTGATATAGATTCCTTGAACGGGCATCTAATGTCCTTATCACGAGAGCAACAGAAGCAACATGACAATCTGCAGGACTTGCTCAGCCAGTTTAAGAGTCTGCTAGATGACTACAGCTCGCTTAAGAGCGACTACGAAGAGGTTAAAGAAGGCCGAGAGAAATACAAAAGACAAGCCAGAGGCCAGGTACGAGTTGATAAACTTACAGAAAGCCCGGGAGCGAGAAAATAAAAATGAAAATGAACTGACATTCAACCAGGATCGTAACCCTTTTGTCCTTGTACTTGTGGACGGAGATGGATATCTGGTGAGACTGTCTTACTTCCCTCGGTATCCCCTCAGTTCACTAACGCAGTTGTTCAGTTCAAAGAGCATTTCCTCAAGCATGGAAGTGAGGGTGGCATCAATGCAGCCCGCGAGCTGAGCGACTCTGTTAAAGAGCTTATGCATTCGACAATGGGAATGCAGGCTGAACAGTGTCGGATCATGGTTCGTGTTTATGCAAACGTTCTCGGTTTGTCAAAGGCGCTAGCTCGAGCAGGACTTATGGGCCATGAGGCTCGATCCATGTCGCCATTTACTTCATCATTTACCCGTGCCCAGGAACTTTTTGATTATGTCGATGCTGCAGAGAAGAAAGAAGGCAGTGATTTCAAGATCAGAGGTAATGAAAAATTTGGCATGAAGAGTCTTATTACTGTACTGATATTTGCTGCGAAATCAAGAAATGTTCCGCCTATTCGTGGATCTCAACCAGTGTCGCCATATCTATTTTGCCGGCTGCCACGACACCGGATACGGCTCCCTTCTGACGCCCTATAGAGGCAGAGGTGACCGTATCACCCTCATCAAAGCTGCCGGTTTCCATCGCGAATTCGAGGCCTTGGATCTCCCTATCAGAGAGTTGCCTTCCGTATTCATGTCTACTCCTCTACTTAACAGCAAGCCACCCACAGGCCCAGCAGCGTCTACAATCGTGGGCAAGTTCAACGGTGGAAACGGTGCGCACCACGTTTCTAACGGTTCAAATGGTACCAATGGTGCAAATACCACCAAACCAATCTGCAAGCACTTCCAGAAGGTATTTATTCCCAAGCAGGCGATGATTTCGTGAATAAGTCGCTAACTCAGATCGACCTAGGGTATCTGCAAGTTCGGCAACAGCTGCAATAAACAACATGTTATGCCCAACCAGTCATTTAATCATCAACCGTCGCCTAAACACTCTACTGCAAGCGATTCACCTAAACAGTTGTGGTCTTCCCCTACAGTTGTCGGTCGCTCCGAAGATTTCCTCAGATCCAAGCTTCCTTTGCCAAGCATCAAGACAGAAGAATTCATTCCAGTGAACAAGGATGGGGACCGTATCGACCCATACTATCCGCACCCGTCGCCTGAAGCGTTCGATGAATACCACGCTCGGGCCAAGGAACACAAAGTCTGCAATAGCTATCATTTGTCGGGGGAATGCGGTGACATGAGCTGCACTTATGACCACAGCGATGTCTCTAATGTGATCATTGAGGTTTTGCGATACATGCTCCTCCAACACCCTTGCACTCGGGCCGGGGCTTGTCGATCAATCAAATGCTACATGGGCCATCTATGCCAGAAGCCTGGATGCAAGGCCGTGAAGAGCTGGCAGTGTCGATTCAACCAAACCGCTCACACCCTTGATCTTGAAACCGCTCGATGGGACGTGCCAAGTGACCAGAGCGAATTGGACCAATGGTCTGTCAGTGACGGTTCTATCGGAGAGCGATCGGGGTTTGCTTTCTAATCAATCAGAATCCCCGCCAAGAAGAAACTTCCAATCCATACCTGCGGACAATCTCTCTTACCTGGGATGTCTTTGTATGTGTGAAAAGTCTGCAACTGCAAGGACAGTTGCTTGACAAAACAATGAGTCGATGGCTAGCACTAAACAGACAGATTTAAGCAAGACATTTCAATGGGCTAGAAAGAAAGTTGAAGACATCATTTCAATGTTTACAGATGAAGTTGCAGTACCTTGGTAACCACCACTAATTGCTGGTCTATTTCCATAGCCAGTAATTTATCTGGTAGATAGCTTAGAGAGCACCATGCTTTTATTCTCACTGTCCTTACTATTAATCTACTGAATTTGATGATCTTTGCATAATTCCTATCCGTGACCAACCCAAGAGATACACAGGAAGTCGAATCATTTCGAGTTTTGTGATGTGTGTTGCACTGGGAAGGTAGGTATCTGGGATGTGACCATATAAAAGGACCCGAGTTATTTGATAGTCATCGGGTACATCATTTGAGAGGTGTCTGGTTGAGTTCTATGTGTGGGATGGGTTAACAAGCCGTGCTTGTATAACACGTATCCTACTGGGTGGCACTGATGATCTGTAAATACGTAATATTACCTAGCTAAGCTCAACACACTCTAGGGGACACAACTTAAAAAAGTCACCATTCACCTAGGACGTGATTCCTTTAATTGAGATTTGCCATGGCCAACAATATGGAACCAAGAGTCCACCCCTTCTTCGAGTCTAAGACTTGTTCTCGGCAGTATGTGGTAGCTTGTCCTGAAAGAAAAGAGGCGGCCATCATCGACCCAGTCCTGGATTATAATCCTGAGAACTTCCTCATCACCTCCGAATCTGCGGATGAACTCATCGAATGTGTTCTCAAGAACGGATACACAGTTACCTTTTTGTTGGCAACACATGCCCACGGAGACCACCTCAGCGGCCTACTATATTCAACAAACTCTCTGGTCCCGCGGTCAACCTCACGCACAGATCTGCATTGGTGAGAATGTCAGAGTTGTCCAAAGTCACTTCGCACAAAAATACCAAATCCCAAGACAAGAAATCTAGAACGCATTCGACCACCTCTTCCAGCCCGACGAAGTATTCAACATTGGCGACGTGACCAGCATCGCTCTCCACCTCCCTGGACATACACCAGACCATGGAGGCTACAAAATAGGGAATAATATATTCACGGGAGACAGTCTGTTCAATCCAGATGTTGGCAGTGGCAGATGTGACTTCCCAGGTGGCGATGCTCGGGAACTTTTCCGCTCGATGAAACGTCTCCTTGCTTTCCCGCCAGAAACGAGATTATACACGGGTCATGATTATCCTCCCTCGAATGAGTATCCCTCGAATGAGTACACGGCACGGGACCCATTGCCGTATGTTACGGTCGGCGAGCAAGAGAAGAAAAACAAAAACAAGCACATCAAGAATGACTCGTCAGAAGACGAGTTTGTGAAGTGGAGGTCTCAGTGAGACGAGGAGATGCCTGAGCCTAAGTTTGTGCACCAGGCTATGCAGGTCAACGTGCGTGGAGGGAGGATGCCAAGTAAGTCGAATAATGGAAAGGCATATCTGCTTTATCTCATCGATGTCCCGAAGGTTTTGGTGACTGGAAAGTAAAGATAGGCAGCTCTCGGAATATCAGAATTTGATATTTTGGTTTTTTTTGTGCCTGAATATGTAAATATATGAGTGAAAGCATGAACTACAGCATTATATATATTCTTCAACGAATTTGTAGAGTGATTTTTTATTTGGCCTAAACTCCCCATATGGATAACAATTTGTGGTTCTCATCCAAGTATTCCCCTATTATGAGCTCAATTCGCATTGTGTAATTTTACTTTTTACCTTGAATCTTGATGTACGCTTCCTGGACTTCCTCCCGTGTCGCCATAAGCCCCAGCCATTTTTTGATCATAGGGTAATTGTCAAGCGAGAGGCCAGCGAAAGAGTACAAGCGAACCCAAGGCTCGAAGTGGTAATCAACAGCAGTGATACGGCTAGGCAAAATGCTCTCACCTCTAGTCTTCTTCAACTGTCCTTCAAGGACATCATAGCAGCGATAGGTCTGTGCCGTGTATCGTTGGAGCGCATCCTCATTCTTCTGGGGGTGAAAGTGTCTGAAGAAATACAGAGTCAGTATCATGCTGGAATTTCTTCCGAATTCACACCGAACCTGAACCAATTTGCCTGTCCGGTCATGGGACCAAGCGTTGACAACAAGAAATACTCCCACTTCTCGAAATCTACCAAATCTTGCGCCGAGTCGCCCGACGGACCGATAGTATTACCCATGTCATACACACGGCGGATGTAGTTCATACATGCTCCGGATTCCCACGAGACGACGCCGGTGTTTGGATCTTCGAGGGCAGGAAGGCGCCCGTTCTCGTTGATTTTGAGGTACTCTGCGCCCTTAACACCCTTCTTGGGATCGTCGCCGAACTCCCACTGCTTCGCTATGTATGGAATGTGGAGCGCCTCGAGCGCGATGGCGATCTTGACTGGGTTCGGGCCCGTCGCATGGGCATGTAGGATTAGCGGCTTGATATGTGCGGCCATTATCTGATCAGTGGTTTAAAATTTGATGCTGCTGGAAGGTGGGGAAAAGAAACTTCACTTCGAGTGGGTTGAAATAAGTGAAATATAGATGGCAAAATGATATCACCGTGATGTAATTTGCTCGGTAAAACCTGGGGTAATCGACCGAAATCATTTAGCCTGATTTTCAATTAACGTCAGTAATGCAGAGGTGGGGGAAGGTCTTGTATTTGAAGTTGTCGAGTTTTTCATTGCTGAAAGTATCGTTAGGTTGTAGTTTTGCCGGTGCACCGGGTAATTGAGGAGATCTTCCTTCAATGGGATCAAAGTGGAAAGCCGCCTTGCTGCTTGGGGTATGCGGAGTCGGCTTTGTTAATGCGGGGGAAATAGATGCAAATTTCAAACTACAAAACGAGATAAAATGCTCCCTTTCGTGATTTCTGTTTGTGCTCTTGTCGCGCTTGATTACCTTGCGAAGCGCCCATCGGCAACGCCTCCAGCCCATAGTATATACAGTGATCCTAGTAATCACCACTGAAAGATGTTGTGGAAGACTTCAAGATTATTTACCCTGCTTTCTATAGTTGCTAGTTTGGTTTTAGCCTCTAGCAATACCTACACAAAACCCGAAAGTAATGGGCGACAGGATTTAGTAAGCCTACCACCACCCTGGGGGCAGCATTATACTAACGCAAGATGGATAGGTGACATGGGACCAACACTCCATTATAGTACGGGGAGAGCGTCTCATGATATTTTCTGGAGAATTTCATCCATTCCGCCTCCCAGTCCCAGGTCTTTGGCTCGACGTGTTCCAGAAAATAAAGAGCATGGGCTTCACCGGTGTCTCATTCTACGTGGACTGGAGCCTTGTTGAAGGAAATCCGGGACATGTTATCACTGACGGTATATGGAGCTTGGATGAATTCTTCGACGCGGCAAGCCAAGCTGGATTATATCTCATCGCTCGGCCGGGTCCGTACATTAATGCAGAAACAACCGCTGGTGGGATACCTGGGTGGGTTCTACGAAACCAAGCGGTTATTCGGTCTGATGACCCCGAATACGTGAATACGACAGAAAATTACCTGTCCACAATTGGTCAGATCATTGAAAGAGCGCAGATCACACACGGTGGCCCAGTGATCATGGTTCAGCCAGAGAACGAATACTCGACATGGCCCGGAGTGACTGATTTCCCCAATGAAATGAATCGGAATTATATGGCGCACGTTGAAGATCAATTGCGGGACGAAAGTATTACGGTTCCTTCAATCGTGAATGATAACTTGGTTATGGGATACTTCGCACCGGGCTCGGGGAAAGGGGCAGTCGATATCTACGCTATCGATGCATACCCCATGCGCTATGATTGTCAGTTTTACTCTAAAAGCCTTCAGCTCTATGCGTGCTTCAAGACTAACGCACCTTCCCACTTAGGCGCGAATCCCAGTGTTTGGCCTACATACAGGTTTCCATATGATTGGCAAGTCACGCACCAACAGCAGAGTCCAACGACACCCTTCGCTATTGCCGAATTTCAGGGGGGGTTCTGGCGAGGGATGGTAAGCTGATTCCTTTAATCTTACTAATTGAACGGACCTAAAATTATTCCAGGGGAGGCGTGGTTCAGGAGATGTGCGGCCAGTTAGTGAACGAAGAGGCCGCCAGAGTTGTGTACAAGAACAATTACAGTTTTGGGGTAAAGATCTTCAACATTTACATGGTGTGTATCAAACCTTATTCCATATTGCAATACTTATCATCGATTTATCGATTGTTATCAGACTTTCGGCGGCACCAACTGGGGTAACCTCGGTTATATGGGCGGGCACACATCATACGATTATGGTGCAGCCATCACAGAAGAAAGGGCCATCTGGCGTGAGAAATATAGTGAACAGAAACTGGAAGCAAACTTCCTCAAAGTTTCTCCAGCTTATCTTACCGCAACTGCTCATCTTGGAGTAAATGGTACTTACGGCACACCGTCCTCGATAGCCGTTACTGCTCTCCTTGGAAATGGGACACGCACAAATTTCTATGTTGTCAGACATGCCAACTTCACTTCAACTGAGAACACTCACTACACCCTCGCACTGTTGACGACTATTGGAGATATCCAAATCCCTCAGCTGGGAGGCAACCTCACGCTGAACGGACGTGATTCCAAATTCCACGTCACAGATTACGATGTCGGCGGTATCAACTTGATCTACTCCTCCGCAGAGATATTTACATGGGCGCGCGGGCCAGGGTCAACACGTGTATTAATTCTTTACGGAGGGGCCGGAGAGACACATGAGTTTGCTCTGCCTAGTCATCTTGGAAAGCCAACTATCCTCGAAGGAGAGGAGATCAAAATACAACAACGCGGATCCGCTTGGGTTGTACAATGGAATGTTACACCAGCCCGAAGAATCATCCGGGTAGCAGATCTTGAGGTATACCTGCTCTGGCGGAATGAGGCATACAACTACTGGGTCATGGAGTTACCCGTATCAAGTCCGATTGGAAACTACTCATCGCCATCAAAGAGTCTGGTAGTTGTCAAGGCCGGATATCTTATCCGCAGCGCTGATCTGATAAACACGCAGCTTCGACTGACGGGTGATGTGAATGCGACAACAGAGATCGAAGTCATCTCTACTCCGGCGACAACCCTTGAAGGCATCACCTTTAATGGAGAAATCTTACACACTTCGAAAACGTCTAATGGGAACCTTCAAGGAACTGTCAGATACAACCCTCCCAAGTTGGACATTCCCGATTTGTCCAACCTGAAATGGAAGTTTATTGATTCTCTCCCTGAGATTCAGGCCTCGTACGACGACTCAGCTTGGACACCCTGCATACGAACCTCAACACACAATCCACGGCAGCTGAATACCCCAACGAGTCTGTATTCCATGGATTACGGATATCACACAGGGTCTCTGTTATACCGAGGTCATTTTAATGCTAATGGCCAAGAATCCAATGTTTGGTTGAATGTATCTGGCGGCGTAGGGTTCGGGCATTCAGTCTGGTTGAATAACACATTCCTTGGATCGTGGGTCGGATCGAGTGCCGACACCTCGGTAGTCCACAACATGTCGCTGTCATCCGTGTTGCCGCAAGGAAGCCCGTATGTGATCTCGGTTCTGATTGATCACATGGGCCAAGATGAGGAGGCCCCGGGTACCGATGCAATTAAGTTTCCAAGAGGAATTTTGAACTATGGGATTTCGGGTCACGCGCAATCCGACGTTTTATGGAAGTTGACGGGTAACCTTGGAGGAGAGCAGTATCAGGATCTCGCCCGTGGGCCTCTCAACGAGGGAGGCATGTATGCCGAGCGACAAGGATACCATTATCCCAATCCACCAAGCTCGAAATGGGGCTTGTCAAACCCAGTCACAGATGGTTTATCGCACGCAGGCGTTGGATTCTTCGCTGCGTCCTTCCAGCTGAGCATCCCCAGTGGATGGGATATTCCAATGAGCGTGGTGTTGAATAACTCAACCCAGAACAGTACCAAGGATAATACTCGAGGCAACAATTACAGGTGTCAGCTATTTGTCAACGGATATCAATTTGGAAAATACAGTATGTGTTCCTTTTAATGTTTGGTTCAGGGAAATGGTTCCATGGCTCCTGGCCCGGAATCCACCAACTCTAATCTTGTTTTAATTTAGTCAACAATCTCGGCCCCCAATCAGCTTTCCCCATTCCAGAGGGTATTCTTAACCACGAGGGGGATAATCATATAGCCTTGACAGTGTGGGCACAAGATGAAGAGGGCGCAGCACTGGGAAATTTGGAGTTAGTTCCCACATCGGTCATTCGGTCCGGCTATAACAGACCACAGGCTGCTCCACAGCCTCTCTGGACGAAGCGAGCACAGTCATACTAAACACCGAGAAGAAAGGAGATTGAATAATAAATGTTGGAGTGATAAACGATATATATGCAAGAATGAGGAATATATACATAAAATTTGTTGAAACCCGTGAAAATTAATAGCCGAAAGAATATGAAATGGCCTTGGATTTCATCACTGGGCTCACAATGCAGCAGCAACCGCCGCGACCAATGCATCGAGGGCCGAGCTATGTGTCGACGCATCCACCACTGCTTGGATAGGACCGGCCCAGTTGACGCCGAACTGTCCCTTTTCATTCCGATCATTATTCCAGATGCTGGTCGCACAGCTGCTTATCACTTCCCGGTAGATATCTTGAGGGGATGCTTTCTGCAACATCCGCAGGTTGCGAATAAAGATTCCCTTGAATTGTGTGCCATCTGGAAGGCATTGCGGCTCGCAGAATTCATGAATGACATTGTTCGAGTCGGCCAAGGTCGCAATGGCTGCCTTTGCAATCTTGTTGGCTGCGGGTAGGTATGTATCATTGGGTGCCGCTCTGTTCAATTCAACTAGTCCACCAAGGACAACTCCTTGATTATACGACCATCTGCCGAAGGTTAGCCAAAAGAAATATAACCAGAAAACAAAATGCTTACACAGTATCTCCGTTATTTTGGCAATTGTCTAAAAGACCATCATTGATAGTGCCGTTTGCACCAATGAAGGCCTGGGATGTGAACCAGTCCCACTCTTTCTGAGCCCACCGGACATAATATTGCTTTCTATCGGGGACCCGGTTTGCAAGGTGCGCTGCGACGGAGAGAAATAGCTCGTTTGTAATTGCATTGACATATGTGCTGGTCGGATTCCAAGGAAGACCACCACCACCACAGTTGGTGCCCCATGCGTTCGCCTAGGAAAGATTAGTACGCGTCGAAATACCTATAGACCCAAGGTGATACATACCAAGCTCTCGAAAATCCCCTCAGCCAGTTCCAGGTATGTTGCCTGTTTTGTGACGTCGTAGGCAGCAATCCAGGCCAGGGCCCACCATCCATCATCGTCATAAGCCTGGTCGAGCCACAGGCTAGCATTGACAGAAGTTGATGGTTGATTGTCGCGAGTATACACAGTTTTATGCTCCGGTCCGGGATTGGGATTGGACACTGGCCCCACGTGGAATGTGTTGTTGAAGACATATGTGGCCGTATCAATCACTGAGGGATCAAGGGCAGCTAAATCTGCGACTGTATTCATGCAGCTCGCACCATCCCACCAACCACAAGTGTCCCAAATGCCACTGTTGGGATTATACCAGCCTTGAAGAGTCTGGAGCGCGTCGCGTGCTCTTGATTTTGCGTCATCAGCGACCGCGCTTCCTGCCAGAAGAAGCGAAATGACTGAAGGGGCCAGAATGCCGTGGCGAGAGAACAACATGGCTGGGGGATATCAAAGGAAGTGCGACCTATTCAAACGGAGGTTACGAGTGGCAGCGCATGTTCGCTTTAAATAAGAAAGCTGTGATATTCAGACCCGGCTCCTAGACAAATTACAGCATATCCTAACCAAATATTCGTTGTACATTCTTGCGGCTGTAGTGCCTTGATTGGCGATCAAAATCAATTTGGTCCACTATAGCGGATCGCTAGGCCCCTGATCTACAGTGATCGCCTCATTGTGAGACTGAAACGCGTCCAAAACCACGAATATGTATGCAGGTGAACGGCAATTTAAGGAACCAGCCTTGCAGAAAGACTGGTCCGATCTCAGTCAATTTGTCAATCTTCCTATTTCTCTTCGTCAAGGGGGCTGTCGATTCATCAGGTTGGCGCTGTACTCCGTACAAGTGTTGTCATTAGCGCCCATCCCTTGCAATGTGATCCCCGCTCTTTTTGGTTCAATTAGATTGATTCGACTGAACAATAAAAATAAAGATATTCATTGTGTCATTGTGAATAACTCATCGCTCTGTCGAGCCCGCTATGAGTTCATGTTTTGATCAGAATCGAGTACCCTATCGTCCCCAGGAGCCTACTTAGGTACTGTTGATAAATTTTTGATCAAGTCATAGAAAAGTCATGGTTGTTCATTGGATGTGATTGGTCAATTATAGTTGTTGTTGATCATCAAAATCATCAAATCAATTAAGCTTTAATCAGTCGCGACCGAGCTTACTTGAGTCTGTCCCCAATGCAATATGCATTGGAGCTGCATGAGTTTCGGCAGATTGGTTCTCTTGCGCTTGGGCGCAGTTAACCTCGAGGGTAATTATATGAGACATGCATTGTTTGACCTGCATGGTATTTAAATCGGACTATTGCTGCACTGACGTCAGCCGCAGCTCCATCCATTCGAAGGTTGTCATCCCCGTGGGAGACAGGTCTCTTGGCATGTTCTCCATGTGTCTTCAGCCAACTGTCGACGAAAAGGGGAAGTGAATATTCTCGTAATCAGCTCCACATATTCAAGGGAGTGGATTGTAGGGGAGAATTAAAAAGGGGAGGAGTCTCTTTTCCTCTCAATAAGAATATCCCAAGGTCGGGTTAGCATTGTTCGCTAAGGCCGAGACACACACGTACCACAAGTCAAGAACAAGGCACATTGTAATGTATAATGCTCACTTGGTCATAGTCATTTTACCCGGAATTTTTAAACTTCATCCTCAATGCATAATGAGAACATAAAGAGACACGTTGTAGAAGATAGGAGGTAGCCAAGTAAACCAAGGGACTCGGCACCCCTTCTTCCACTTCGTTAAGAGACTCGATAGAAATCTCTCACCAATTGATGTGTCGATCATTCAACGTGAGTAAAATCCGCGTGAAAAATCAGGCACCGAAAACAGAACCATTTCTCCAGTGTACTATGGGCGAAATTCGCAAGATCCATAATTATATGTTCATTCGCATCAGAACCTAATGTTAGCGAAAGATTGCCGAAAATAGTCAAAGGAACTCCTACGACGCGAAACCAGTGAGTAGATGTCGGGTTCATCTGGATGGAAGCTCTACGGTAGGAATCCGCTCCTCGGTCAGGACGATGTGACAAATTTTGCGGAGGTCAGCAAGACAAATTCAGCTCAATAGTCGACTAACTGCGCGATATGTGCGATACATTTTATTGCAAGTAAGCAGTAACGGGGTCATTCCTGTTGTTAACTTCTGCCTAGTATGGAAGCCGTGATTGGATGCTAAACTTGATAATCAAAGAGCAGAGCTTGATGGCCGGAAAACAATCATTGATTACTCGAGACCTGCAATGCAGTCATGGCTCTCATAGTTAGACAGATGCGATGGAATAGGAAGACCGAGGAACAAAGTTGATTGTGTGAACAAGCGATAATGCTTCTTGGAGCTGACCGACTAAACTAACTGCTTGACATACATTTGAATTAGCAACACCCTTACTATGGTAATGCTCTCAGATCGGTAATGCTCTCAGATCCCTTCCCGATTGAGGTCATTCATCTATCAGCATTCCCCCTAGCATAACTACAAGAAGGAAAAGAGATTGACGGGAAGAAAAGGAATTGTCGATAACCCGGCAAATGAATATAGATTTAATTGCAAATCCCGGCAAAGGATGGATGAAAAATTAGCTTGTGATAATTGCCAAGACGATTGAGAGATATATATCGTTATACATCCTCTATTGAGTAAATACTTGGTGAGCCCGGTATACTGCTCACCAGGGGTAGGGAGGGTTCAATATTATAAGCTTTTCTTTGGCCGGCAACCAGACCCTGCTCTCACCAGTAGTAGCGATACTTTCGCCCATTACTTTCTATGTGTGTAACCTCCGATTCTAGCTGTGGATTGTCCACCAACTTCTTTGCGAAAGCCCGGTTAGCCCACTGAAACGCGAATGTTTGTGTGATTATTCCGGCGAGCCACACTGCGCCCAGGGATATACAGGCAATCCATGCAGTATGATAGAGAGGGGCATCGCTCTGCATTTGGTATCAGTTGCACATTCTCGATTGAACAAATGTTTAAGACCTATGGAAGCTTTACGTACCGCTCTGAATACTTGGTTGCCGTATGTACCCCCTAGGTTAGAACATCCAACTGTGGTACCATTTGTCAGTAATCATCCTCTCGCAAAATCATCAAAAATCATGGTTCCTCACTGTATACCGCATACGCGACCGCACGTTTCTGGGGCGTCTGAAAGTTTAAAGACAACCAGGTGACATTGATTGGCTGCCAGTTACTATAGGGTACTGGTCAGTTAAAGAATTCAAATTTAAGCATCAAGTATGACTTACGGGGCAGATTGGGTGACCAGATACGCCGCATAAAAGGACCACGAAGCCTTGGATGTGACTGGGAGAGACTGCGATAAGAATGTCAGGAGAAAAATACTGCACAGCAAATCAAAGAGTATAACCCTTACATAAAGTGCAATCAGTCCCGCGAGAGTCCACACAGCGGAAAGGGCGATTGCGTACCCAAATCGACTGTACCTGTCCACAAATGCCGACAGCACAATGCCAAAGATGGCACCCAACAGACTTCCAGGGGCATTAAGCAAGTTAGCCCGAATTGCGCTGAAGCCGAGCGACTTGATGATGGTTGCGCCCCAGGTGCTCAGCCCATTCGTGGATTGTAGGCCGGTTAGGCACACAATGAGGTACGGCCAGGTAGCCCAGTGTAAAAAGACATCAGTTCTATAGACAGCCAAATATTAGTCGAAGCTTTTGGTAACTATTAAGCAAGAGGAGTACACACATATCTTTCCAGCTAATTTTCAGATTCGACGCGGCTCCCTGCCCGTCTTCCCTTTTGGCTTTTCGTGCAACGAGAATGTCAGCTTCGTGCTCGTTGAGCCAGCCCCGTACACGGATAAGACCACCAAAGAGGTGACCTGTATGGTACGGAGACTTGGGCACGAAGGCGAAGGCCAAGACTCCTGTGGCTAAATTGGGTCACCTGTTAGCTAGGCAGGCAACACGGGATGTTGATCTGTGCATACTTATCGTAGAGACGCCACATATGATAAATATCCTACAGAGTTTGCCCTCGTGTTAACAGAAATCACACCAACACGAAACACGGAAATAAAAACAAACCATTGCCATCCACTTAATCCCCCCTGTAGATGTAACGTCAAAGCCCCCGCCGAAACTAGTGACCCAAAAGCTCCAGCCAACGCGGGCCCTAGGAAGAATATTGCAGTGCGCTTTGTGAGCTCGTTGGGTGCATACCATGTCGATAAGATGTATAGGCCACCAGGGATGAACCCGCTCTCTGCAAGTCCTAGGAACAATCGTGCGGCGTACCAACCACCGGCATTAGTGACGAACATTTGTAGTACCTCGATCAAACCCCAGATGACGACCTGGGCCGGAATCCAGTAGTGCGGACCCACTCGGTGCAGGACGATCTGTTTGGTGAGTTAGACGGGGCCCCCTGTTCCAAACAAAATGGGAGAAGTTGAAAATACGTTTGAGGGGATCTCGAGCAAGACAATGCCCAGCCAGAGTAGAGAGACACCTGTGTTCGCCTGATCGCGGGTCATAGATGTGTCGGACAGGAAGGTGGAAGTGAGAACACTCGAGACATTGGTCCGATCAATGGCCATCCAGGTAAACATCAGCTGAGGGGCATGGTTAGCGGGGAACCAAAACACAAGAGATCAGGACGGCGGAGAGACCGACCGAGAATATGGGGAGGAAAAGAAAGTCCAGTTTGCGAACGATGACAGACTCTTCATCTATTGTCCAAGTGACGAGGACTTGGTGGCCACCTTTTAGGATATGGTGAGAGAGCGTGTCTTGTTGGGCCTCTTGGTCTGGGTTGTCGCTTTCTGACGGAGTGGTAGTGCCATTATAAACCTGGTGCACGCGTAGATTAACCGGTGTTTTTTTGTCGTCGAAGGACTCCTTTGCAGGGAAATGTGGTTTGTCCTCTACCATGTTGTAGTGTGACTGATCCACCCAGTTCTGCTGGTACATAAATCGACTTCCAATACTGGAGTAGGAACGATGCGTAAGAGGGCCAAGATATCATTAAATTTGGACTCTCACTACATGGAGGTGTATGTCGAATAGCGATGGGATTTCTGAGCTGAATATTTATCCTTCTTTGGGGCTGATCTTGTCTGGTCCAAGATATATCGTTGAATCCATGTATACGGTAGTCGCGGTGCATTTTATAGGCTCGAAAGTTGGCGTATGATGTCGTCTTGGATGGAAATATGTCGTGACTTGCGCTAGATAGAAACACCACGTAGCTAAATTTGAACGTGTTTTTTTAATACAATTAGACCTTGCCATATGGAACTCAAACTTCGAAGAGTAGGCGAATGCTTCTGGCGATTGCCTATTTCGGTAACCGAGCTACCTAAATAGGCTTAGTGTGCTACTATCGGACTCAATAGAAAAATGCATCAACTTATCTACGATGCCCATGGAAAATCTCAAGACTTATGTATGATGCTGCACATCTCTCTACATTCGGCGTCATCGGTACGTATATCTGACCCGATCAATATTCATTCGCACTCAAAATGTGTTGGTTTGTACCATTTACCGGCGATGCGCTCCCTGCTTGAATCTCTTTGCTGACGCCATATAGAGTTAATATACGACATTCCATGGTTATAAAGCTCGTGCTTCCACCCCGGATAAGCGGAATATTACAAAGAATAGCAATATAGAGGAATCTTCCGCTCTTCCAATGCCACATTATATTTATTATCGTGTAGCTGTTGACGCCATACACAGCCAAGCACGCGCCATTCCATTGGTCTGGAACCCACGTTTACATCTTGGATAAGCGGCATATTGAAAGAGATGTAATATATCGGCTTATTCCGCACCTTACTTCAGATTCGCACCTCGCTTCGGTCCCTGCGGTCGTTGACCCGCATGGAATCATGTACGTTGAGGTAACCGGTTAGCAATTGAAATACATCCACATCTAGTTTTGCGCCATACTATGATTATATGATTAGCGTCTGAGCCTCGGTTACATGATACATCGTAAATATATAATAAGCAGGGTTGGTCCGGACTTAATACTAATTTCTCTTGGGGCCTTTAACAGCGCACTACAGCATACCCTTGCAGCATTACGCCTTTCATTTACAATGCCTTCTACCACCGAGGCTACTAACTCTCTCCCAACCTATTTCATTGGCCATGCCGGCGTAGGACTTCTCTTTGATGATAGACCTCGAAATGAAATTGTCCAGGCGAACTTGAGGGCTATTGGGGAAGAGATCCTATCTCTGTCACCACGTCCCAAAGCAGTTGTTGTCTTCAGTGGTCACTTTGAAGCGGGCGAAATCCATGGACCCGGAGTAATTGAAGGTGAGTTTACGTGATAACACCAGTGTTAACTCATGGAGAAAATAGAAGGTCGGGCTAATATATACATAGTGAATGTAAAACGTGGGACGCATATTCAAGTGAGCAAACATATTCGCTGTGTTCTAATCAATAGAATGACGTGAAATGAAAACAATACTGATCATCCATCAAGCACGACTTTGTCAACGACTTCCATGACTCTAAGCCGTTTGTATATGAATACGACTGGCCGCATGAAGATGCGCCTGAGCTAGCGGCACAACTATGGCAACATCTACGCAAGGCAGGAATCAAGGCCAAACGAGTGGAGCGGGGAGTAGATCATGGTGTCTGGGTGCCGTTCAAGGTCATGTTTCCGAACGAGAACCCGCTGGACATACCCGTAATCCAAATCTCTACATTCCACGGGACCAATCTTGAGAGCCAGATCCGTCTGGGTCAGGCCTTGCAGTCACTACGGTAAGTCTGGCAGACAGCGAATAATTTATTATTAACGCCCAGAAGTTAACCGATGGCCAACAAATATCTAGACACGAAGGTTATCTCATTGTAGGTTCCGGTATGGCTGTTCATTCGTTCGCCTCGATCGAAGAGATCATCGATGCCCCGACAGAGGAGGCGAGGGAAGGTACTAAGGCCAAGGTCCTTACTGAGTCCCAAGTGTTTGATACACATCTGAGAGCGGCAGTGACAAAAAGGGATGCAAAGGAGAGAAACCAAGCTCTGCTGAAGCTAGAGACCCTGTACGAGTTCAAGCGCTCCCATCCGACTGTTGAGGTACGTTCCATTAAATGTGAAATAACCCATTCAAGAGATCTTCTAACACTTGTTCGATTTGTGTATTAGCATTTCACGCCGCTCCTGGTTGCTGCAGCCGCGGCTGGGGATGCAGATGTGGAAGCCCTAGGTGTGGACTTAGTCGACCCAGGCTTCTCTTATCTCAATCTACGCTTTGCTTAGGAAGTGGAAAGAGCAGGGAATCGCCCACTCGGCTTCACAGCTGGATATGGGGTCCTACTAGTGAACCGTAAGGTCGATCAATAGTCATGGGAGCCGCATTGACATCGACTCAGCTGCTGGTATTCATTTAACTTAGTTTACCCTTGTCTATGAAACACACATGTCCACTGCGCGATTTTATCAAGCAATTGAGAAATGATGATTAAGTGGACGTCCTTTTAGAACTAAGCCGTGTAGAATAACCATGGTCATCTTCGACCTTCCATGCAAGCTGTCATCTTTGAAAGGCCGAGCACAACAATGGAGAAGATATCTTCATAAGATACTATATTCGTAATTTTAAATAAGTCATGATCTTCAAATTCAATCTCAACGACTCACCTTCCACATTTGCTCTTTGCTTGTGGTGTCGATCCGGTCGATCGGAGTTCCCCACCCATAGTGGACCTGGCAAAATACGATTATAATTTGGATAATTGGTGCAAGCTATGAATTTGTTCGCCCAGAAGCCAGGAGCTCAATAATTGTAAGTTTACAATGGGGCCAATAATACTGTACCAGGAGAGCCCCAAATGCGTAATCATCTCGCTGTAGTCTATTCCTACGATAGGAAGAGAAGGTGGGCGCTGCGAGAGAAAGCAAAACCGGACACAAGTTGACTAACCAATCCACTATAGTTATGGCCATTGTCCATTGTAAGAAAAGGGATCATGCTTGAAGGCCACGTGGTCGAAGTCGCTGACACGACAGACTAAAAGCTGTGTAAACACCAACGGAAAAGAAATGAGATCAGAAATTTTCACATTTGAAATAGGATAGGGATGGTTCAAGGCATTTTCAGTCATTGAATCGGGAGAAAAACAGATCCTGGGACGGGAAGCTGTTGGACTGAGTGGTCCAAAAAAAAGGGAAAAAAGAAAAAGACTCTTACGGCAATCAACCCTTGCTCGATACAAATGCCGGGTTTATTCAGTCGACGATACGACGGCTTCTGGTGCGCCATAACAGCACCGAACATGACCGGGGTAGAGAAACAGTCGGGTGGCATGGTTTGCAGGGATTGTAATCCTTATCGAGCTATCTCGAGACTAGGGGGGCACTAAAAGCGAAAGGAGTTAAGGCCGTCAATTAGGAATTGATTTCCTCATTGAAATGACCTCTTCCTCCATTCCTTAGAACACTCTCCAAGGTGGCTTTTAAAAATCTGTCGACCTATACCAGTGCGAGTGATGAACTATGTATCTATGGATATGTTTTTATGTGCACGGGACATGCAAAAGACTTATCTACCCACTCTCATCCCAATCAACCATACACCGGCTTGGCACAAGTCAAGCTAATAAGTATGTGGCCCTCGGTGGAGAACATCACTCCACGACATTGGATAACCCCATAATAGTGCCTTGGCGCATTTTGGTACTTGAAAATCTTCTAAACGAACATTAGTACGTTGTGGCCAATAGTTATATATTCCCCACTTAGTAAAGCCTCGCAGCAAGTTATTCATGCAACCCTAGTCTAGTGCCGAAAAAAATTGCTTTCTCTGAAACACACGCTGCTCTAGGCCCCGATAAGAGGTTCACATTATGTTGTCAGCCAACTGAATAGTTGTTAGCCGAAATGAAAGGCTTCAAATGCTTCTGCTGTTTTTCCCGTTCCCCTCGGTGGGGCAGCACAGGGCAGCACGAGGCACAGGGGTATATGCTGCAAGGGATCCATTATTCCACGCGTATTTCGGCCCTCCATGCGAGGTGAAATTTAATACTTTAATCCCATGGCCCCCTTGATCCTTGTGAACCCAATTCTGTCTCTTTCCGTCTTTTACCTGGTTTGGTATTAATCCCATCATGGAAACCCCAATTAAAGCGACCGCGATGGAGACGCTGGATATGGGTATAGATCATAGAAATCCACAGGCCTCCGAAAAGGGCGGGACAACACTGGACGATGATGAAATGCATCGTATGGGAAAGGTTCAAGAGTTCAAGGTTTTTTTACTCGCTTGTGCAGATATCACATCCATAGCTAATGTTCTTCGACTTCGATTTAGAGAAACATGCGACCTCTTGCTGCGTTGAGCTTTGCATCAGTGCTGCAGGCCACCTGGGAATATTTGATCATGTGAGCCAATTAAAATATTCATTCCCTAAGCGACAGGGATAGAGGATAAACCAATTAACTTCTTCCAGTTCAGACTACCAAGGATTGGAGAATGGAGGCCTAGCAGGCATGTTCTGGTCATACATCTGGACATTTATCGGATTTGGGTTCATTATTGTGTCATTGTCTGAAATGGCTTCTATCGCACCTACCGATGGAGGCCAATACCATTGGGTATCAGAGTTTTGCTCGCCTCGATACCAAAAGTTCCTCAGCTACGTTACTGGCTGGATGTCCGTACTAGCATGGCAAGCCGGAACAGCGTCTGGATCATTCCTTACCGGCACCATTATCCAGGGATTGATCAGTGTTCGCAATCCGGATTATGATCCTAAAGGCTGGCAAGGTACTCTACTTGTGTTCTCAATGGTTCTGGTGTCATATATTTTCAATGTGTATGCGTCCGACCTGATGCCGATGTTGAGTAACATCTTGATGATTCTCCACGTCCTTTGCTGGGCGGTGATCCTGATTGTCCTGTGGGCTATGTCCCCTCATCGATCTGCTGAAGATGTTTTCGTCACGGATTGGAAAAATCTGGGAGGGTTACCTACAATGGGAGTGAGTGTGATGGTTGGACAAATCTCAGCTATCTATGGCTGCCTTAGTGAGTTTCACTTGTGTTATTAATACGGATACGATCCTATAAAAAAGAGGCTAATCAACCCTTAGGTTCCGATGCGTGCGCGCATATGTCGGAAGAAATCAAGGACGCTGGCCGGAACGTGCCACGGGCTATGGCGTGGGGATATTTCTCTAATGGAATTATGGCAGCCATTTTGCTGGTAGCCTACCTCTTCGCTACCCCGTCTGTCGAGGATTCCCTTAACGACGTCACCGGATTCCCATTCCTCTACGTGTTCAAGCAGGCTACTAATACGGCAGGAGTCAACGGGTTAACGGCTATCATCTTGTTACCTGTGATTTTCAGCAACATCATGTTCAACGCCTCCACCTCTCGCCAAACTTGGGCTTTTGCTCGTGACAAGGGTCTTCCCTGTTCTGGATGGATTTCCAAAATTGACCCCAAGCGCAAGATTCCCGTCAATGCGATCGCCCTCTCTTGCATTTTCAGCTGCCTGCTTTCTCTGATTAACATCGGCTCCGATACCGCATTCAATGCCATCATATCTCTCAACACCGCTGCCTTGATGTACACCTACGTGATCTCAATCACCTGTATGATCTGGCGAAAGATCTGCCATCCGAATACTCTGCCAGTTGGTCGGTGGGATATGGGCCGGAAATGGGGGTTGGCTATAAACATCATTGGCCTGTGTTACTCCGTTTTCGCGATGTTTTGGTCATTCTGGCCAGGTGAGCTACCAGTCACTGCTGAAAATTTCAACTGGAGTGTCGTCATCTTTGGGGCGGTTTTTATTCTTAGTTTGATCATGTATGTCATCAAGGGGCGAAGAGAGTATTCTGGACCAGCCGTGGATGTCAAGCGTGAGGACTAAGTTGATGTAGAGTGAAATATTATAAAGGATAATAAATCCAACAACTACTAGTGAAAAAAAGACGTCAAATATTATACATTTAACATGTCAAAGCTTTAAGAAAATTTCTTAAAATATAAAGGCGTAGTGAGTGAGCGATACGATGAAAGGATAATTGTGCTATTGTTATATATAATCACAATGATGATTACCGCAAGTCTCCTACATCCAGTTAGGTGGATATTGACTGAATTAGGAATACTCACAGAAGTGCAGAAGGTTATGAATGCAGGATTTACTCAAGAATGTGATCACTAGACTGTAGCGCAGAATTGACATTGTGCATTTTTAAAATTTCTCGTTGGTTCTCTCCATGTAGTCATGTTTAAGCTGGACTCCACTGCGATAGTGAACACAGATATTGTTGTTAAAGACTTTCAACTTCCTTGTCAAGTCAATGATTCAGTAAAATGATCCGTGGAGCTGTGGTGAACATCCGTTCCAATATGAACGCAAAAGCCATCTCTGAAACATTCGACTACAAAGTTCGGATATCAGAAGATCGCGGGAATGGAAAAAATACACAATAACATTCAAAAGCGTCAAATGAGAAGCATGTCGATCTATAGTTTTGCTGCCGTAGTTTCATCCCTTGAATTTCCATCTTCATTGAGACGCGCCCGAATCTTTCGCCGTAGGATCTTTCCAGAAGGATTTCTCGGGATTTCATCGACGAAACGAACACCACCCCTGAGTCTTTTGTGTGGCGCCACTCGCTTCTCTAGCCACCAGCAGATTTCTTGTGCTTCATCCTGTGTCTTGCCCACCCCGTGAGCTAGAACGACATACGCACGAGGTAACTCGCTGACATGCTCTTTTGAATAAATGCCAACGACAGCGGCATCCATGATATTTGGATGATCGAGAAGGATACCTTCAAGCTCCGCCGGAGCCACCTGGAAACCGTTGTACTTGATGAGTTCTTTGGCGCGATCAGTAATAAAAAAGTTTCCGCCCTGATCCACATGACCTATATCGCCTGTTCTGAACCAGCCGCCCTCATCCAGGCACGCTGATGTTCCTGGGCGGTTATTGAGGTAGCCTAGAAATACATTAGGTCCTCTGAGATACAGCTCTGCTGTTTGACCTGGCGCAATCTCGATTCCCTCCTCATCGCAGAACTTGGCAGTCATGTTGGGAAGAAGGGTGCCAACAGAACCTGGCTTATCACGACAATTGTGCCAGCGCTTTAAATCTTTAGCGAAATTTCAAGGATATGGATGAGATGGGGATTACTGACCTGAACCAGAGCTACGGGGCTTGTTTCACTCAGACCATATACTTGACGGACGGGCAGTTTGTGCTTTTGGTAAAGCTCCTCTATCAGCTCGCGAGTCAGGGGTGCGGCACCACACATGACCATTTTCAAGGAACTAATATCATATGTGTCGACAAGAGGGGACTTTGCAAGTTGCAAGATAATTGGAGGTACTAGTGCAGCATATGTAGGGCGGAAGGATTGCACTGCATCAAGAAATCCTTTCTGGTCATATTTGCTCATGACAACAGTAGTGAGCCCTCTGTACGCCGGCGTCAAGATCAGGAAGGAGAAACCTTGCAGTTGTCAGTATAGCTCTTGACAGCAAGGAACGGGCATATATACCGTAAACATGAAAATAGGGAACTGTTGCCAGAATTTTATCTCCATGGTCATCATCACCTCCGGTGGGTTTCAGATTTCCTTCATCAGTAGCTTGTATTTGCAACAGATTTGCAACAAGGTTTTCGTGTGACAACATCACAGCCTTTGGACGACCAGTAGTACCAGAGGAATAAGCAAGCAGGGCAAGATCCCTTTTGGGGTCAATAGTAGGCTTCTGGCATTTAGGAACTTTGAAGCACATATTGTCGCACAGAGAAAAGTGCTTGAACTGGTCCGTCGTGTCCAAGTCGTCCCCGATCAAAATGATCCGGTCTTTGGGGATTCCAACAATCTGAGCTGCCTTTGTAGCCACGTCTAGATAGGCCAACTGCGTCACCAAGGCCTTTGCGTGGGAGTCCTTAAGCTGAAAGGCTAGTTCATCGACAGTGTAAGCCGGATTGGCGGCAGATATTGTTCCCCCTGACCAAAGGGTACCAAATACGATGGCTGGAGAATCGATGCAATTTGGCGAAAACAACCCCAGCACATCTCCTTTCCTCCAGTCCCATAGTCTGATAAGAGTTGCGCCGAATTTTAAAGCTGCGGCTTCGGTTTCTGACCATGTATAATGCCGTTTTGTTTGTGCGCTTATGTATATTGCTGGATGAAGGTTCGTTATATGGTTTTTTTCTTGAGTATGGAGGACTTACGCTTCTCCCGCTTAAATTCTCTTCTTTCATTCTCGAAAATGAAATCCCAGATGTCCACTTCAGGAATCTTGACTGGTTCATATTGCGAGTGGATGGACATGATGTTGTTTAACTGACAATGGAAAGAATCCCGTGTGAGGGTATGGTAATAAAAATAGAGAAGCTCCGAGGTACCACAAATACCTGGGAGAATATCTGGTAGAGAGAGCTATGACGGAAAGTCTGAACAATATATATCTCGCACACTGCATCATCTCCTACATTGCCCACATTTAATAACCCGAGGGCCGAGGGGTCAAGGACTCAAGGGCGTCCGCAAACAAGTGGTGTGTTGCAAGTATGTCTATCAAACTGTGTTCGATTCGTCAATCCGCGTATGTATCCTGGAGCACGCTGCACGTTTACGCACACTATAGAGTAGTACGCACAGTTATCTATTTATGGTCAGAAGTCGAGGACGACTACTATAGGCTTTGAATTTTACTTGCCTTGGATAGAAAGTAACGCTATTCAAGCAAACGCAAGAGAATGGGGACCTGAGACACCGCGTATACTATGTTGGCCTTCAATGTAGGACTTTACCACTCTGACTTTCCTAGCACCTATTACATTGCTCAGGACCACCTAATAGACCTTATATGCCAAAAAAAAATAACCTTCCTTTCGGGTATCTTGCTGGTGTCTTTTTTTAATGTTATATAAATGTTTGTCGGAATATCTTGTCCTTTGAAGCTTGTTGAAACAGAAGGGATAATAACACACAGTAGACCCTATCATTATATATAAAGCCACACGAAGTATATATCTTACAAAAGATTTTCCTATATATAACCAGGGATTGGAGGATATATTGTAGTGTTGATATGGGTGAGATTATGTCATGTCCATCGTTACCCAAAACAGGAATCACCGCCAATAGGTGCTTGTTCTGTGGGGATTCTGCAACTCTCCCGATAGCCGTCACTCCCGAATTATCCGTTCGGTCCGAGGTTAGTGAGGGTTGGAGCGCAGACTAACTGCACAGCAGGCGGCACAACATCGACATACGCTCTGCTTTCTCTTGGTGGGAGACTAATCAATGGATTGAATATTGCGGGGGTGGGGGGAGAGGAATCCTCCCGTTAGGTGAACAACCTCATGGACAATGTATTTCGAACTCATTTCTCAAGTTTAGAAACCATTGCATGAACATAATGGCTTGGCGAATTTGCGCCCTTTCTATGTTCGCAAATAGAGTATCGATTGGCCGTTATCACCTTTCCACTACCGCTACGCTCGAGAATGTCGTGGAACGATCGGATTTCTTCGACATTTTCATGAAAGACCAAAGACCGTCTCCGAGCACCCTTGATTACTTCAGTTCCTTCCTTTGGACGCGGAAATTCGTGGAAGATGAAGCCTATAAAGCCATACCATTTTTCTCACGTCATCTCAACGAGCGCACGGGGGAAAATCGGTTCTTCGCTGAAACCGTCAACAGCAACACCACCGTATCCCATCTTCTGGCACTCCAAGTGCAAGACCTCAAGACCCCTGGATTGATTTCACATTCCAGACGTCGCCAGTTAAATCTTACCCCCGATCTGACTACCCAACATGAACTTATTTGTTTGATGTCGCTTGGCAAGGGCCTTGACTCACATCCTTCCATTGTTCATGGAGGCTTTCAGGCGGTAATATTTGACGAAATAATGAGAAACTTGATCTTGCTACATAACAATAATGCATGTGAACCTGGGCCGAGAGACCTCCACTTCACTGTCAATATGAACATATCTTATGCGGCCCCTGTGACTACGCCGGGTATCTTCCTCGTTCGGTCAAACCTGGTTAGGCGAGAGGGTAGAAAGTGGTTTACAAAGGCTGAAATTGTCAACAGTGATGATAAGATTTTGACCAGTGCGGAAAGTATTTGGGTGACAGCGAAGAAACCTTAGTTTCGGTAGTGGTCTCTAGGTAGCACGGAGTTGGATGTCAAGCTCCTGCCGCGCGAATCTTAGCAAATCAAACGTGGTGTTTCTTACGAGCAGAATAGATGTTTGATTCACGTAGTCACTACCTTGTGACTGTATATTTTGTGTCTCTTATTTTGAATCTCTTTCGAATATGCAATGCAACAGCTCAGGTATCCATAATAGCCTCGTCGGCCTTCGAGGATAGACGACCCACTTTAAGCCATATTTAGTGGGAACAAAGTTCACCAGGTCAGGCATCGAAAATGCTAGAATCGTGTGAGAAGGACATGTCCTGGTTTGCCATCCCGCCAGCTAAATGCAAATAAATCTGTTCTTCCAGACCTTCCAGAGTACTGTCTTGAGTACCCGGGTCATGGCACTGTCTTTTCGGTTGATTTCCTTCGTCATTGAACAAAAGCACAGAGGGATCCAGTGTTCTGGGGGACAAAATGTAGTTATTACGGGCTTGTTCGATACTATTTGTCCTGTTGGCTTCAAGCAGACCTTTCAGAGGACAAAGCTCGGCAGCAAACAAACCTCTGAGGCTAGCAGGGAAGTCTCCATCCTCGGCTAACCTCCCCTTTCGGAGACTGAGGTCCAGTACCAAAGCCAAACGGAGATATGAGCTAGGCTGAAAAACGAGAATATCAGTCCAGTGGATGCCGGTTCCCTGGGTTCTCAGACTTGGTTCATCAAGTCGAGCGAGATTCACGATGTGACGGACAATGTCAGTCACCCAATCCACTCCATCGTACTGGGACCGGTACGTCTTCATGACTTGGGCGAGGACATTGAGCTGGTCCTGCTTTTCACCAGGTAGTATATCGTTGTTCGTTGGCACATGGTCAGCCCGAAGGGCTAGGTTGGTGTCCAGTATATGAAGAATAAGCGGGAGGGCTGTGCAGCCAATCGCCGAAACAGGTAGCCACCGGTCAAGTCCCCGGCTAACTAGTTCTTTGTGGCACTGAGTCATGCAGAGGGCGGCATCTTCCAACTCCTGCCGAGACTTCACAATGGTTGAGAGGTTTTGGCAAAGCGCTGCGCTCACATGAGAATGCCTTTGCAACATGTCCACGTGCAGCACCTCGTAGTGGCTCAACACAATGCGCGATGTGTGGTAATACATAAGCATAAGGCTAGTATAGAGGATGATAGATGAATGATATTTGTCTGTGTCAGTTTCCCGACGAATTGATGGATGCGTATTGGGAGTGGTGAATGGAAAGGGAAGCCGAGGGCCAACAGATTTGTACCATCGGTCTAGTGCTGACTTGCACTCCCAAAGTTGACTGGTGTTGGAAAGTGTCTTATCATGACTCACAGCTTGACCCTCGTTCAACGGGAAAGCAAGTGTAAGAATATCTGTGAGCGTGATATTGAGTTTCATCCACTGAGCTAAAACGTCCGCTAGTCCCCTCTTGGTTGCAGAGTCATACACCCTCGATCTTTCAAACTCTTCCGCAAGATCTGTGGCGCATAGAGAATGGGAATCGAAGTTGAAGTGAAGTTTTGTGATTTGAATAGGGCGCCTCATGAGAAGTCCTGTAGAACGATCCCGGATAATGCAACACCACCATACTCTTTTCAACATATTTCGTTCTTCAGGTGTAATGCAAGTTGTGGGGATGGATGCGTAAAGGTGCGCCTCGGCAATCTTGGCATTTTCGATGGCGATGCTGAGCCACGATATGTTGGGCTTTCGAGAGGCTGAAAGGCATGCGAAGCTGAGTAGAAGGCTTGCCTGCGCGGTTCCAAGTGGAGAAGATTCAGACCCAAGGTCATACAAAAGCTTAGCATGACGGTAATATGAAGCTCTCATAACCCGTATGCTGGGGAAACCAAGCGAGTGAACCGTAGATGCAGACAGAAAATTGCACGCTGCAAATAACATAGCCTGGAAAACCAATAATGAAATGGGCTTTGTAGGTGGACCATCGGTGGAATGGAAATAAAGGTCCCAGAAATCGCCTTCATTCATAAGCGGTAAGATTGGGTGTACATGAAGAAAGTACTGCTGGACCAACTCGTACAACAGATCTCGCGTAGGAACCCTCAGGCAGCCTTGAAGCTCCAGAAAGTTGAGGTCGTGCGCTTGAATGTTGCGAATGTTGTTAATAACGAGGAATGGGTAGTGGCAGTAGAGAACATCAGGGGAATATTTAGGATTCCTGGCGTGCATCTGGACATTATCAACGCAACTGGATGGACGTCCAGGTGTGGTGAGGCTTCCAAGGCATAGGTCTTCATTTGATCCTATATAACGAGTCAATTAGCCTACTGCTTCTCGTGACCCGAGGGGATATATTCCCATGTAATATCAATCGACCAGGCACATTATTATAGGGATGGATAGGGAACATACCACTAACATGGCCATCGAGGATATCCTTTATCCATGCAAAGCTGTCATGATTCTTCCTAATCTTCAACTTAGTCTTATTCACTAGGGAAAATCGTGTTTCTTACGTGGAGTCCCGCCTATCTCGCGCCATCCATTCCCACTCCTGTTCAATTGCGTCCGTGTCAGGGACATGTGGAACTCCCGGTAAAGCAGAAGTTGGAGAAGAGACATCAGCATCATTTTTATCGGGTTCAACTCGGATACTGTTATATGAGCACGGGTTGATAGCATCCGGATTCGTCTCCAGCTTACAGTTTTGATGGGCGGGCGTTGACGATACATGTCTCACCATCAAGAGAGCAATTCATGCACGGAGAGCCCCTAATTGAAACATCGCACCGCACCTTGCGTACATGACAGGATTGACACGCCTTGCGTGCTCTCTTGCGGATTCTGGTTGGGGGTGGCATGGAATTGGAATAAAGCCCAGGATTTGGTATCTCGACGGGGTTCATGGCAATTGGTTAGATGTAGCGTGCTTATTGGTGGACCTGATTCAATGGATCTCAAACCACGTCGGCAAAATGTCTGCCGATGCATAGGACGTGAATGAAGGATCAAAGAACCTTGGACGGTCAAAGTATTGGGGAAATGCGGGGTCGGTGACGAACGCTCCGGGGCTGCGGGGACCAACGAAGTCTATTTTGACCCTCGGCAAACATTGTCGGTCACGAGACTAGGCAACCCTAGCAGGGTAAATATAGACTATCCTGTTCACAAATATACAGACCAAGTATGACAAAAAGAATTTGATTTTACCATTCTAGCGGTTTCCTTGGCTTCAGGTCCAAGATCGCCGCAATCTTTATTGAGTATCCGCCCTGTCAAATCCAAGGAGCCTTTCAGAATGACAGTGCATCGTAGGAGCAGTGGCTTAGGACTATGCTTTTAACCGAAAAGAATAGCTATATTGGGACTGATAATACATGTTTACAGAACGCGAAATGAGACTCGGTTGCTAAATAGTGACGCGGTAGTGTTGAAGGGCACAACTGCATTAGCGGTCAAGCAGGTGCGATTTTCATCTGCTTGGTTAACAATCAACCAGTTAAAGTTGGATGTTCTGCCAAGTTCGCCCAGAAATCCATCTCAAATTCCCAAGGCTGTGAGTCAATGAACGCATTCCAGTCTTCCGTGAGATCAGTGGTCTCGTTCTGATGTGAACTGCAGAATTCGGTATGTGGTTTCCATGCAGTCAGAGAATCCAACAAGCTCCGAATAGTTTGAGTAGCACGAGTAAAAAGCGCAAAGTTTGGCTCCCCAGCTTGGATCCATGCGCCTATAGAGATCTCCGCAACAAGTGTACTTAAATCTTGTAACATCTTCGACCGTGGAAATGGTCTACAATCAGCGCTTATCGGATGTAAAAGGGCCAATGAAACAATTCCTGCCGCAGGCAGGCCATATTGTGCAACCTATTATCTGATGAGAAGGCAAAGCCGACAGAGGTTGCGTGTGATATACGTACTTTCCAAATCAGAGATGTTCCGGAATTTACCAAACGATCACGCAGAATGATTACTTCCACTGTTATGGAAAGCATCTCGCTTGCTACCTCAAGAAGAGACTGGTCTAGTTCCGATGCTCTCTTTTGTGAGACTAGCCCAAGTAGAAGGAGAATGTGTAGATAATCGAGCCTAGTTCCAGCAAGGAAGTCCCGTTCAAACGGGCTCCATTCGCAATCCTTTAGGCTGGTGGCGAGACGAAAGTGAGCTGGAAGGTCCTGCCATTGCGTAACAACACGTGATCGAAGTTCACTGTTAAATTAGCATGATGGATAGAGTAGAGTCTACAAAGAATCGATTTGCTTACCTTATCCTTTCTGTTTCATTTAGGTGGCGCTTGCGAAGCATTAACAATACTTCCTCCTTCAGTGACGCAAACAAGGCCGAGCAACGTGTATCTGCAGTGTAATTGATAGGCTCAGGGTTATTTTGAGTTGTGTCGCCGATCTCCCAGTTGACATTCGAACGAGATGATTGAATCGGGTTGTCAAATCCCGTGGTATATTCGTCATTTCGCACCCCTAGGTAGGTCGGGAGCTGGAAGAAACAATACTCCTTGACAATTCGTGGCGGTCGCCCAAGAAATATTGCCAAACTTTTATCGGCGGCATAAATACGCGCGAAACATGCCCTCCGCAACTCGGCCAGGAAAATGGGAATGTCATGCATATCCTCATCAATTTTCTCATGGTATCCCAGGGCGAAGAGGGAGCTCGCGACGTCTCCCATCCTTCGCCAAGAGTGGTAGCCTTGGTCTAAATTAGCCCTCTCGAATGCGAACGTGCAACATATAAACCGTGGAGTAACTGACTCTGGTCTCCGTCGACTTGGGAGTGTACTATAAAGTTTTCATACTGCAGAACAAGTTGCAGATCATCCAAGCAATCGAGTGCAAGACAGGTCTCCAAGCAAAAGTCTCCAATAAGAGATAAGGTTTTGGTAAGCTCGCGACGCTGCCGGTCAGTCGTGAACAGTGCTGGAAAAGAGCAAGTGTCTAAAGTGGCTCGTGCTGCAGCTGCAAGGAAAATTCCGAGGGCCTCCAATCGTAAATTCTCCCCGAAAATCTGACTGAGAAATAATTCAAAGCTTGAATCCCGCTGTACGACAATTGGCTTCTGGGTGCTTTCCAAGAGAAATCTGACCCGCTGACGGGCATCAAACCTATAATCCGAGCCATTACAGGAAGGTCTGGGGTGGTTGCTCCAATTTGCGACAGCCTTTAAAGATTGGGACACGAATGGCGCAGCCAAGGGGAGATTGACACCCCTGTCAAGCCAAGATCGCACCAAAGATGCAATTTTAGGTATTTCCAGCTGATCCAAGTGACTTAACGCGAACAAACCCTTCTCCAAGATGGTCAAGTCCTGGATAGAATCGGTTATAGCTGGGGAAATAGGCGGGGCAGGTTGCTGCACGTCATGCTGAGATGCCGCGGCATGCGCCGTCGTAGATGAGAAGACCTGGTTGAAAATAGTGGAATGACTTGACATTCCAAGATAACCAGGGTTCGGGTAGTGACGCGGCAGGGATGAAGCGTTTGAGTTTTCTTCCTCTGGGGAGCTGACTGGTAGGGACCCAGCCATATTTTCTGATAGTGTCTCTCTAAAAGATTGACTTTAGCGCTGAGGTACTGCCATACGTGTCGAACTAGCTGGGCTCACACTGACTCATCGCCTCTGTTGCTCTTGTTCTTTCTCCGGAATGGACGGGCTCTGTATATGCACTGGTCACTTTGCCCCCGATGCCGGCACCGGGAGCATGTAGGCCGCTGATGGTCACAGGCCAACTTTGCCCGCCGACATGGATCACACGCGACGGATCTAACACCCATCTTCAAGACGCACACGCGATCTATCTTCGAAAAGCCGGGGTAGTAATAAAAAAGGAAACTATCTACCCGGCCCCTCGATCCAGCGAAAGCTCATGGCCCGAGTGTGAGTGCGTGGACGCATGGGCGGGCGCCCGATGTTGTTTGATTAGTCATGTTTGGGGGACGCCCGGGCGCTAGGGCGGCGCGCGGGTAGACGAGGGCACCCTCGGGCCCAAACCTCTGGGGTGGATACCATATGCTAGTGCAATTCGATTTTGGACAACTATAATTTAAAAGAAAAATCTTTGGTGAGGAATCGCAGAGACTATATTTATATATCTAAATATGTACACTCCCCTCTTCACACTACAGCCTTAGCGTTAATACACCTCATCCCGTTCTCGGCGGATTCGGTGCAAAGTTATTCATTCGACTTTATCTAACAGACGGAAACATGTTTTCAAAGCTTCCCCAAAACGCATCACAGCCTGCTCAATTTGTTCTAACGGTGCCGCTGCGAAGGTCGTCCTATAGAAGACTTCATTGCAAGTGGAGTCTTCTGTCGCAGAGAACCAACTGCCACAGGCCACGAGCGCTCCATTTGAGATAGCTTTGAGCCAAATCTCCTCCTCGATCTGCCGGGCGGATTTAATCTTTGCGTCGGGGTGCTTTGTCCAATCTACTTCCAGCCATTGCTACAAAAGAATATTAGTATCTTGGGTGAATCACCAAAGAGATACGGTGAGCTTACAAACATGCCAGCCTGAGCAGGCTCCCAGCTAGCAATTGTACGCGGTAGATAACGCTCGCAAGCCCGTATCATGAAGTCTCGCCGATCGGTGTATTCGTTGCGAATGTGCGTAAGCCATTCTAGATATCCAGCGTGTCCCCAGTGCTCATCTAGAAGTTTGAACAGCGCCAACTGACTCAAGCCACCAGGGCCTTGAGTGGAAACGTCGGCGTGGTTCTTGTATTGCTCGATCACCTGTTGCGGTGCGGTGAGCCATCCTAACCGGACTCCTGGGCTGACTACCTTGCTAAAGGAATCCATGCGAACCACCCGTCCATCGGTATCCATGGAAAGATACGACGGTACGAGGGCCTTGAGCAGCTCTGCTGGTGTTTGGGGACCTAGTCTTGTTGGGCCACCAGTTTCTGCCGGCGAGAAAGGATTCATCTGCAGAAAGTAGTATGGGTCGTCTTCCAAAATGATGAGGTCGTGTTCTTGGGCAATGCGGTAAATGTCTCGGCGACGTTCCAGGCTCTGTGTTGCACCCGTCGGATTCTGGCCCGTGGGGATGGAGTATACTAAGAAAGGTTTCCGGGAATTTCCATGTGCCATCGGATCCCATCCTTCAAGTATCTCACTGAGGCTGTCCGGTCGCATGCCCTCCTTGTCCATTTTCACGCCTGCGAACTTGACACCCATCGGTTTTGCCGTTTCTATCGCTGTTGCAAAGGTGTACTCGTCTGACAAAACATAGTCTCCAGGCTGAGTAAACATTCGCAAAGCCATATCCAAGGCCGATGTGTTCCCGACGGTCATTGTACATTGCCAATCAGCGTAAGGGGGATCATGTACTATCTCGGTGTGCTCTGTGATCCATCGTAGGAACTGGGCTGACCCGCTTCCCTGGCTGTAGTTCAAGGCGACAGAAAGGTCGTAAATGCTACGGCCTTGGTTGATATCACCCTTGGAAGCGTGCAAGGGAGCATTTGCCCCGTTCAAATCTGCGTCCTTGAAATTTCGCTTTTCGGGTGAAGACACGGTCAAAGATAGGCTCTCGAATGGAAAGTAATCACTCAGAGGGAGGCCTCCTCCCAAGGAGATCATACCAGGGTTTTTGAGGTGTTTGAAAGCGTTTTTAAGGGTCGATCCCGTCCGACTCATAGACTCCGAACTCATATAATCTGTATAGGTGTCTCAGCAACTACCACGAAGCTCTTCGGATTCTGCTCGCGTGAAGCATCGACAGGACTGGGGAGGAAGGGGTGGTCACTCACGATTCCATTCTCGAGCAACAGGCTTGTCCTGCTGCCTTCTTGTCTTGAATTGTTCGCTACTGCAAGGAGCCGCCACCGCCCATTGGGAGGGATCAACTACTTTGCGCTTGGGTTGAAGATTCAGGAGTTCGTCCAC